ACAATGGTTCTCATCGGTGTCTTCACCTTGTTGTTTACCTTGCAATACCTCAATGCTCAACCCATCGTCCAAGGGTTTGTTTCAGAGGACAATCATGCAGAGCGGGTCTGCCTCGTCCTCATGGGCTTATACAAGGAACTCTCTTAAATATGCAAGACAACTGGCTCAAAAAGTAAACTGTTCCTCCCAGAGCGATTCCGCATCCATGATCGCCTGTCTGAGGATCGTGTCTGCCAAGAAGTTGACTGCAGCATCATGGCCAATGGGAAATGAACCCGTCACAGCATTAGTCGAGTTCTACTTTGTACCTACTATTGATGGGATATTTGTCAAAGACGACACGTTGTTACTAATGAGCTCCCTAGGTTATCTAAAGCAGGTATCCAAAATCTGGACTGCATGGCGTCGGTGGTAAGCAATGCAGCTGATTATCTGTTCCACTCCTCATTATCCTCATCAGTTCAGAACAAGACATTCTACAGGAATATCTTCATCCTAGAGGTTCTTCAGGTTTATTTCGGAGCATCCTCTTCATGACACAGGCCGTGGCTAAGGTGTATGCCCCCTCTCAAAGCCATAGCGTTACTCTTCAGGCAGGAATGAACACTCTTGGTGATGCTGGAATGGTTGCCCCAGGGACGCTCTTTGCCAGGGCTCATTCAATGCTGAGCAGCAGCTTGAAAACAGGGAAGAAGACCTACATGTATGTGTTTGACCACGTCCCATCCTTTATGAGCGGTCATGGCAAGGGGATGGATCATGGCAAAGACCTCTATTACACTTTTGGTCTCAGCGAAGCCATCTTGGGTGATTTCGCAAAGGTTTTCCCCATCAGTTCAACAGATCCAGATGAGTCGGAAAGGAAGCTCTCACAAACATTGATGGGGCTGCTGAGAGATTTTGCAAGATATGTGTATGGTTGGTAAAACGTTTTAACAAGAATGGTTGTAAGAATTACGACGGACGAGTTTAACAAGAATGGTTGTAAGAAGTACGACGGACGAGTTTAGTTTGAGTGTGTGAGAATGGGAGAAAGTGAGTGAGTGAGTTAGTTTTACACCGATACTCAGCAGTATTCCAGCTATGTGGCGTCGGTCTGTAAATAATCACGTCTGGACCAGACAATCCAGTGATCAACAGCATGAGCATCGATCTGCGCAATTGGGAACCGATGACATGTGTCAACCAAGTCAGCGAGCCTGACCACCCGATCCCGTTAGTCGCCTCTTACGACAAGCATAGTCGCCTTTTGTGGCAACCATGGGTTGTTGAAGATCTATTCTAACCCGGATCTTCACGGGTCGAATGAGAAAAAGCAATCGTTTGATTGCTTGTGACTGCTGAAAGACATCATGGGTATGTTCGCCAAATAAGCTTCATAAAAAATTGTATGGAATGCGGTGAGCTTTGTTGGTTTGATTCTGTCAGTAAGGTAGGATGAGAGTGCAAATGTGTTGTGAGTCAGCAATGGATGGGCACATTGAAATACATGTTTATAGTAAACTTATTACACTTACAGAATACGTTAAACTTTCCGCAACACACAATGTATTTCTATTGGATTGTTTTCCCATATGAGTGGGATTTGGGATTACACTTTCTGACTAGAGTACAGATTTTAATAGTTTTGTCAGGTTGAGTTCGATCCAGGATTTGAACCCAGACTTCCAGAGTGAGGCACCTATCCCCAGCAGACAGTCATTGCACTGTTATAGTTTGTATTTCAAGCTCATTTGGTTAAAGCCAAGATTCATTTGACAAATGGGAAATAGATAGATATTCTTTATTTCCTCCATAAAATGAATATAACATTTATATGATAAACAACAGTACAGGAAATTATTAGTACTTGAATTATACAGTGATGTTCCATTGTGAAAGATCTGTAGGTATTTATGAACATTGCCGGAGAATGCTCTCCCATCTGCGAACTGAGGAACTAATGATTACCACCAGTTCTGACCAAATGTTACAACTAATACATCTTTACAGTGGTCAGGTAACCCTCCAAGGAGGAATAGATCATCGTCTTCAATCACATTTTAACAAAAATGTCTTTGTCAAGGATGTCACAGATTCTTTCAAACAGGGAAATCCCTTTCTACTAGGTTATACTTGCAGGACATAAAAACATGTTTCATAATGTCGTGAGCAACTGTTCCGCATAGACATTCCTTTGATTCTATTGGAGTTGCACCTAGCCGTGTAATTCTCGCAATGTCAATGAAGTTCTGAGGTCGTTCCAAAGCGAGTATCCATAGTCTATGTTCTCGTCCTGATCTTATTGATAAATAACCTTGGCTGCAGTACATTGACCAACTGCATTTGGTCATATGTACTTACCTTATCCTTGACTAGTTGCGACCAAGCAATGTTCCAATGATCAAAGTTACATATTTTGTTTCACTTTTGAGATTTTTACTTCAGGCTCTTGTGTCATTAAAAGTGACATAACGCAAAGGTTATGTAGCTCACCTCAATGTTGTGAAGTATTTTAAGTGACCTGATAATCATTGAGGGCTGTTTCTACATTACAGTGATCCCAACAACGCTGTACAGTATGGCCTGCACCAGACTTGGCCTCAGTTCTCGGAGCCAGGGGAACACTATCTACTGCTGAATACCACAATGTCCGTCGGATCCAAGCCCTACAAGGACCGGGTCACCTTATGGACGCAGACACTGCCGCGTCTCCTTCAAGCTGCACAGAACCAGCATCACACGACGAAGGACCCCAACCCTAACATTGTCGGTTAGCCATGCAACGACTGCAAGATGTTGACTTTTCGAATTAAAAAAGTGGGATTTCATTGGTATTTAAATGTGTAAATGAGTTACAAATGTAAAAGCCGTCAGGAGCAGATATCATTGTAAACAGTTCATATATCTGATCTCATCGGCGTTGAATTTAGTTTTAGTCGGTTAATGTTAAGATATGGCACTTACGACTATCTTAGCGCTAAGAGAGCTTCGAAAATCTAGGCCCTGGTCTTCAGCAACCCACGCTAGTCGTAAGAGGTGACTAACGGGACCGGGAGGTCAGGCTCGCTGAATTGGTTGACACATGTCATTGTTTCCCAGTTGGGTAGATCAATGCCATTGCTGTTGATCACTGGGTTGTCTGGCTCGGACTCGATTATTTACAGACTGAAACCATATTACTGGAATATTACTGAGTGTGGCGTCACACAACAGACCAAACCATCTGAATTTGGGGTGAATAATGAAAGACACCCATGAAATGTTCCCAAAACCTATAACAGTATTTTACGTACGCTTCGCAAGGCTGCTCGATCAAGTTTGATATCCGTTTAAAAATATTTGATCCATGAGTTGCGTTGTGTCGATCTGTGCACTTATGTTCACGATAGTTGTTAAATATGTTAGTTCGGATCAATGGTGATATCTACTGAACACGTCCTTTCAAAAATTGTGCAAAATTAAGTTGCCGTTTAAAATAAACAGCTCATAAATACTCCCTGATTAGGGACTGATTTGCTTAATGCGGTTGGCAGCTGTCCTAATACATCGCAGTATTCTCTGACTCAGATTCCAGGAACCGTTAGGCTTTGATTCGAACCAAAATTAGCTTCTATCAAGAGCCTTTGTTTGTGAACCCGACTTGATCATTCTACATTCTGAAAGTGAGTGAATATGGTTTTACGCGGCTCTGAAAGGGGACATCAGAAAAAAGCACTATGAACCCAAGAATGGAAAAAATCCCTGGTCTTCGGCCAATAAGCAAACGCTTTCACCATTGGGCTACCTCGATGCCCCGGCATTCTAAAAATGAACTCGAATTGCACAAAGTGTCTGGAACATTCTGCGATGCATTCTTAGAAAATCCCTACGCAGTTCCGCCGACATGCCTTTCCCATCACACTGTGAAGAAGCCGCAACATCAGATAATCGGCAGCTGTGCAACGACTGCAGCTTCAGATAATTGGCAGTTGTCAACGACTGCAACATGAGATTATCGGCAGTTGTGCAACGACTGCAGCTTCAGATTACGGTCAGCTGTACAATGACTGCAGCTTCAGATTACGGTCAGCTGTGCAACGACAGCAGCTTCAGATTACCGGCAGCTGTGCAACGACTGCACCATGAGATTATCGGCAGCTGTGCAACGACTGCAACATCAGATTATCGACAATTGGGTTAGTTCAAGAGGATAGTCATGCAGAGCGGGTCTGCCTCGTCCTCATGGGCTCACACAAGGAACTCTCTGAAATATGCACGACAACTGGCTCATAAAGTAAACTGTTCCTCCCAGAGCGATTCCGCATCCATGATCGCCTGTCTGAGGACCGTGTCTGCGAAGAAGTTGACTGCAGCATCATGGCCAATGGGAAATGAACCCGTCACAGCATTAGCCAAGTTCTAATTTGTACCTAACGTTGATGGGGTATTTGTCAAAGACGATCCACTGGTTCTAATAAACTCTGGTTCATGGAGAGGGATTCGACGCAGGGGATGCTATCTTCACTGATCGTTGCCCATGTACAGGTCATAGTTGTGACCATCCAATATTGCTTGGGCCGCTTGGGTTCCTCAGCACAGAGGACGATGTGTCAGCGAGAAACTATGGCATCTGGGACCAGCATCTTGCTCTGCAATGGATTAAAAAACCCATTGCATCTTTTGGCGGGGACATCAAGAGTATTACCCTTATGGGAGAATCAGCAGGACCAGAGGACAGTCATGCAGAGCGGGTCTGTATCGTCTTCATGAGCATATACAAGGAACTCTCTGAAATACGCGAGACAACTGGATCATAAAGTGAACTTTTCCTCCCAGGGCGATTCCGCATCCATGATCGCCTGTCTGAGGACCGTGTCTGCCAAGAAGTTGACTGCAGCATCATGGCCAATTGGCAATGAACCCGTCACAGCATTAGTTGAGTTCTTTTTTGTACCAACTATTGATGGAGTGTTTGTCAAAGACGATCCGAGAACTCCCAAACTTACCTGAAGCAGGTAGGACTTCAAAATCTGGACTGCATGGTGTCGCTGGTGGGCAATGAAGGAGAAATCTTTAAAAACATGACCAAAGCAGCTGATAAACAGTTCCACACGTCATTTCCCTCATCGGTTCAGAACAAGACATTCTACATTAACACCTTCATGACAGAACTTCTTCAGGTTTATTTTGGAACATCTTCTTCTGACATGTCACAGGCCGTGGCGAAGGTGTATGCCCCCTCTCAAAGCCATGCGGTAGCTCTTCAGGCAGTAATGAACACTCTTGGTGATGCTGGAATGGTTGTCCCCGCGACACTCTTTGCGAGGGCTCATTCAAAGCTGACCAGCAGTTTGAAAACAGGGAAGAAGACCTACATGTATGTGTTTGACCACATCCCATCCTTTATCATTGGTCATGGCAAGGGGGTGGATCATGGTGATGACGTCTATTACACTTTTGGTCTCAACCAAAACGTGGTCGCTATGGCAAAAGCGTACTCATACAATATAACTGATCCAGACCAATCCGACAAGGACATTGCGCATACGGTGATGGGACTGCTCACAGATTTCACAAGACATGGGTAGGTATCTCAAATATTGTTTGGAAGAAAAATCGCGGGAATGTGGTGAACTATTTGAGATTTAATGTGTTACAAAGAGAGTGAGTAAATATTTTGTTTGTAAGACTGTTGTGTGATGCTCCGTTCGGCAGCATTCCAGCCTGTTCATAATCAACTATGGACCAGAAATTACTAAGAAACATTGGTCCCCTTTTAAGGGTTCACGGGCCCTGGACAAATAAAAAACTCCATTAACTCAGAATGAAGTCACGCAAACCACACTTCTTTTGATATGATCAATTCGCAGTCAGGTGTATGGCCTATTCCTTGAGAAAAGTCTCCATTTCCCCCTAGGTAATACTTATAGTATTAGGGCTTAGAATGGAACTGGGCACAAAAATTATGTTTCACAAAGTGAAAAACAAGTGTTAAGATGACCATGACGTCCATGTTTTAACAAAGATTTACAACAGTCATGACGCTAAGACAGCCTCGTGGAACGGGGCTAAGAACGAAGATCATTTTGGTTGTTTTTTGTTTAATGTCGCACTTTGCGATAATATTATCTGGATGTTTATAGAGTGAAAATAATCGAATCTTGTTCAGGCGATCATATGGTCAGAATTGTTAGCAAGCAGCTGTTCCTGTTGTGCCTCTCCTGGGTTTTGTTCGAAGTGCTTCATCAGCTAATCAGTGTCTAGTCTAATTAGTTCTCGGGACGAGCGGACAGGGCCTTTGCAGTTAAAGTGAAGAAAATAACATAAACAGGCATCAAAGCCGCTGGCCGATTTTTCATTTCAGATAAAGAGGAGTTAACTAGGGTATGTTGTATGAAAGCCATTTATACTACCATTGCGATTGCACAACACACGTGACTGTTACATTAAATATGCAATAAAGCTTCAAGACTATGGTCGTTCTTCAAAACACAATGGTTCTCATCGGTGTCTTCACCTTGTTGTTTACCTTGCAATACCTCAATGCTCAACCCATCGTCCAAGGGTTTGTTTCAGAGGACAATCATGCAGAGCGGGTCTGCCTCGTCCTCATGGGCTTATACAAGGAACTCTCTTAAATATGCAAGACAACTGGCTCAAAAAGTAAACTGTTCCTCCCAGAGCGATTCCGCATCCATGATCGCCTGTCTGAGGATCGTGTCTGCCAAGAAGTTGACTGCAGCATCATGGCCAATGGGAAATGAACCCGTCACAGCATTAGTCGAGTTCTACTTTGTACCTACTATTGATGGGATATTTGTCAAAGACGACACGTTGTTACTAATGAGCTCCCTAGGTTATCTAAAGCAGGTATCCAAAATCTGGACTGCATGGCGTCGGTGGTAAGCAATGCAGCTGATTATCTGTTCCACTCCTCATTATCCTCATCAGTTCAGAACAAGACATTCTACAGGAATATCTTCATCCTAGAGGTTCTTCAGGTTTATTTCGGAGCATCCTCTTCATGACACAGGCCGTGGCTAAGGTGTATGCCCCCTCTCTCAAAGCCATAGCGTTACTCTTCAGGCAGGAATGAACACTCTTGGTGATGCTGGAATGGTTGCCCCAGGGACGCTCTTTGCCAGGGCTCATTCAATGCTGAGCAGCAGCTTGAAAACAGGGAAGAAGACCTACATGTATGTGTTTGACCACGTCCCATCCTTTATGAGCGGTCATGGCAAGGGGATGGATCATGGCAAAGACCTCTATTACACTTTTGGTCTCAGCGAAGCCATCTTGGGTGATTTCGCAAAGGTTTTCCCCATCAGTTCAACAGATCCAGATGAGTCGGAAAGGAAGCTCTCACAAACATTGATGGGGCTGCTGAGAGATTTTGCAAGATATGTGTATGGTTGGTAAAACGTTTTAACAAGAATGGTTGTAAGAATTACGACGGACGAGTTTAACAAGAATGGTTGTAAGAAGTACGACGGACGAGTTTAGTTTGAGTGTGTGAGAATGGGAGAAAGTGAGTGAGTGAGTTTAGTTTTACACCGATACTCAGCAGTATTCCAGCTATGTGGCGTCGGTCTGTAAATAATCACGTCTGGACCAGACAATCCAGTGATCAACAGCATGAGCATCGATCTGCGCAATTGGGAACCGATGACATGTGTCAACCAAGTCAGCGAGCCTGACCACCCGATCCCGTTAGTCGCCTCTTACGACAAGCATAGTCGCCTTTTGTGGCAACCATGGGTTGTTGAAGATCTATTCTAACCCGGATCTTCACGGGTCGAATGAGAAAAAGCAATCGTTTGATTGCTTGTGACTGCTGAAAGACATCATGGGTATGTTCGCCAAATAAGCTTCATAAAAAATTGTATGGAATGCGGTGAGCTTTGTTGGTTTGATTCTGTCAGTAAGGTAGGATGAGAGTGCAAATGTGTTGTGAGTCAGCAATGGATGGGCACATTGAAATACATGTTTATAGTAAACTTATTACACTTACAGAATACGTTAAACTTTCCGCAACACACAATGTATTTCTATTGGATTGTTTTCCCATATGAGTGGGATTTGGGATTACACTTTCTGACTAGAGTACAGATTTTAATAGTTTTGTCAGGTTGAGTTCGATCCAGGATTTGAACCCAGACTTCCAGAGTGAGGCACCTATCCCCAGCAGACAGTCATTGCACTGTTATAGTTTGTATTTCAAGCTCATTTGGTTAAAGCCAAGATTCATTTGACAAATGGGAAATAGATAGATATTCTTTATTTCCTCCATAAAATGAATATAACATTTATATGATAAACAACAGTACAGGAAATTATTAGTACTTGAATTATACAGTGATGTTCCATTGTGAAAGATCTGTAGGTATTTATGAACATTGCCGGAGAATGCTCTCCCATCTGCGAACTGAGGAACTAATGATTACCACCAGTTCTGACCAAATGTTACAACTAATACATCTTTACAGTGGTCAGGTAACCCTCCAAGGAGGAATAGATCATCGTCTTCAATCACATTTTAACAAAAATGTCTTTGTCAAGGATGTCACAGATTCTTTCAAACAGGGAAATCCCTTTCTACTAGGTTATACTTGCAGGACATAAAACATGTTTCATAATGTCGTGAGCAACTGTTCCGCATAGACATTCCTTTGATTCTATTGGAGTTGCACCTAGCCGTGTAATTCTCGCAATGTCAATGAAGTTCTGAGGTCGTTCCAAAGCGAGTATCCATAGTCTATGTTCTCGTCCTGATCTTATTGATAAATAACTTGGCTGCAGTACATTGACCAACTGCATTTGGTCATATGTACTTACCTTATCCTTGACTAGTTGCGACCAAGCAATGTTCCAATGATCAAAGTTACATATTTTGTTTCACTTTTGAGATTTTACTTCAGGCTCTTGTGTCATTAAAAGTGACATAACGCAAAGGTTATGTAGCTCACCTCAATGTTGTGAAGTATTTTAAGTGACCTGATAATCATTGAGGGCTGTTTCTACATTACAGTGATCCCAACAACGCTGTACAGTATGGCCTGCACCAGACTTGGCCTCAGTTCTCGGAGCCAGGGGAACACTATCTACTGCTGAATACCACAATGTCCGTCGGATCCAAGCCCTACAAGGACCGGGTCACCTTATGGACGCAGACACTGCCGCGTCTCCTTCAAGCTGCACAGAACCAGCATCACACGACGAAGGACCCCAACCCTAACATTGTCGGTTAGCCATGCAACGACTGCAAGATGTTGACTTTTCGAATTAAAAAGTGGATTTCATTGGTATTTAAATGTGTAAATGAGTTACAAATGTAAAGCCGTCAGGAGCAGATATCATTGTAAACAGTTCATATATCTGATCTCATCGGCGTTGAATTTAGTTTTAGTCGGTTAATGTTAAGATATGGCACTTACGACTATCTTAGCGCTAAGAGAGCTTCGAAAATCTAGGCCCTGGTCTTCAGCAACCCACGCTAGTCGTAAGAGGTGACTAACGGGACCGGGAGGTCAGGCTCGCTGAATTGGTTGACACATGTCATTGTTTCCCAGTTGGGTAGATCAATGCCATTGCTGTTGATCACTGGGTTGTCTGGCTCGACCGATCGATTTTTACAGACTGAAACCATATTACTGGAATATTACTGAGTGTGGCGTCACACAACAGACCAAACCATCTGAATTTGGGGTGAATAATGAAAGACACCCATGAAATGTTCCCAAAACCTATAACAGTATTTTACGTACGCTTCGCAAGGCTGCTCGATCAAGTTTGATATCCGTTTAAAAATATTTGATCCATGAGTTGCGTTGTGTCGATCTGTGCACTTATGTTCACGATAGTTGTTAAATATGTTAGTTCGGATCAATGGTGATATCTACTGAACACGTCCTTTCAAAAATTGTGCAAAATTAAGTTGCCGTTTAAAATAAACAGCTCATAAATACTCCCTGATTAGGGACTGATTTGCTTAATGCGGTTGGCAGCTGTCCTAATACATCGCAGTATTCTCTGACTCAGATTCCAGGAACCGTTAGGCTTTGATTCGAACCAAAATTAGCTTCTATCAAGAGCCTTTGTTTGTGAACCCGACTTGATCATTCTACATTCTGAAAGTGAGTGAATATGGTTTTACGCGGCTCTGAAAGGGGACATCAGAAAAAAAGCACTATGAACCCAAGAATGGAAAAAATCCCTGGTCTTCGGCCAATAAGCAAACGCTTTCACCATTGGGCTACCTCGATGCCCGGGCATTCTAAAATGAACTCGAATTGCACAAAGTGTCTGGAACATTCTGCGATGCATTCTTAGAAAATCCCTACGCAGTTCCGCCGACATGCCTTTCCCATCACACTGTGAAGAAGCCGCAACATCAGATAATCGGCAGCTGTGCAACGACTGCAGCTTCAGATAATTGGCAGTTGTCAACGACTGCAACATGAGATTATCGGCAGTTGTGCAACGACTGCAGCTTCAGATTACGGTCAGCTGTACAATGACTGCAGCTTCAGATTACGGTCAGCTGTGCAACGACAGCAGCTTCAGATTACCGGCAGCTGTGCAACGACTGCACCATGAGATTATCGGCAGCTGTGCAACGACTGCAACATCAGATTATCGACAATTGGGTTAGTTCAAGAGGATAGTCATGCAGAGCGGGTCTGCCTCGTCCTCATGGGCTCACACAAGGAACTCTCTGAAATATGCACGACAACTGGCTCATAAAGTAAACTGTTCCTCCCAGAGCGATTCCGCATCCATGATCGCCTGTCTGAGGACCGTGTCTGCGAAGAAGTTGACTGCAGCATCATGGCCAATGGGAAATGAACCCGTCACAGCATTAGCCAAGTTCTAATTTGTACCTAACGTTGATGGGGTATTTGTCAAAGACGATCCACTGGTTCTAATAAACTCTGGTTCATGGAGAGGGATTCGACGCAGGGGATGCTATCTTCACTGATCGTTGCCCATGTACAGGTCATAGTTGTGACCATCCAATATTGCTTGGGCCGCTTGGGTTCCTCAGCACAGAGGACGATGTGTCAGCGAGAAACTATGGCATCTGGGACCAGCATCTTGCTCTGCAATGGATTAAAAAACCCATTGCATCTTTTGGCGGGGACATCAAGAGTATTACCCTTATGGGAGAATCAGCAGGACCAGAGGACAGTCATGCAGAGCGGGTCTGTATCGTCTTCATGAGCATATACAGGAACTCTCTGAAATACGCGAGACAACTGGATCATAAAGTGAACTTTTCCTCCCAGGGCGATTCCGCATCCATGATCGCCTGTCTGAGGACCGTGTCTGCCAAGAAGTTGACTGCAGCATCATGGCCAATTGGCAATGAACCCGTCACAGCATTAGTTGAGTTCTTTTTTGTACCAACTATTGATGGAGTGTTTGTCAAAGACGATCCGAGAACTCCCAAACTTACCTGAAGCAGGTAGGACTTCAAAATCTGGACTGCATGGTGTCGATGGTGGGCAATGAAGGAGAAATCTTTAAAAACATGACCAAAGCAGCTGATAAACAGTTCCACACGTCATTTCCCTCATCGGTTCAGAACAAGACATTCTACATTAACACCTTCATTCCAGAGCTTCTGCAGGTTTATTTTGGAGCATCTTCTTCTGACATGACACAGGCCGTGGTGAAGGTGTATGCCCCCTCTCAAAGCCATAGCATTAATCTTCAGGCAGTAATGAACACTCTTGGTGATGCTGGAATGATTGCCCCAGCGACACTCTTTGCGAAGGCACATGCAAAGCTGAGCAGCAGCTTGAAAACAGGGAAGAAGACCTACATGTATGTGTTTGACCACGCCCTATCCTTTATCATTGGTCATGGCAAGGGGCTGGATCATGGCGAAGACCTCATGTATACGTTTGGTCTCAACAAAGACTACCTCTCTGCTATGGCAAAGGCGTTCCCCAACGGTACAACAGATACAGACCAATCCGAAAAGAACCTGGCACATACATTGATGGGACTGCTGACAGATTTTGCAAGACAGGGGTATGTTCGCTAAATATTCTTTATAAGGAAAAATGGGAATGCGTTGATTGTGTCAAAATGGTAGAATGAGAGTGTGCAAATGTGTTGTTTGTTAGACTGCCCCACCCTATAGTGTTCCTGCCTGTTTACACCAGAGTGGAGTAAGAATTGGTCCTTTTGAAAGAGAATCAAGACCTGGGATGAATGACAGTCCAAGCAGCTTAAATTGAATATATAACGCCAGTACAGAAGAATACCCAGACTTTATTACCTTTGAATATTGTTGGAATAAAGGGAAAATTGCTGTGAAAACTATATAATTGGTTCACTTCAGATCAGTAATGACACCAGGTGTTCGCAAAAAGGGTAAGCATTTCCTGTCCATCCAGTAGCGCCGGCCATTCGCAATATTTTTTCCAAAATGAAAGTATTTTTTGTCTGACAATGCTCACCAGTTCTTCTGCCATGTGAAAGTGGTCTATAAACAAACCAAACAATCAAGTGATCGATCAAACGGGAAATCCAGTTAGATAATTTGGATTTACGACTACTGTGTAGACGTACAGAGATTCCGATGCTTAAAAGTAAAGAAAAACGTTAGAGAAATACATTTGTTTTAGAACACATTCAAAGTCCTATAACTCAACTTTGTCTGCGATCGTATCGCTTCTGATATGATCACTTTCCCATTAATGTTAGCCTTCTTCCACGGGAAACTGTTTCAGTTTCCGCCTGGGTAGTACACACAACACCTGGAACTACAAAGAAATTGGGTTCTTGGTCTTTGTTTGTAACTGTTAGGCCACCCACAGCCCCTATTTGGGATTGAGGAACGCGTTATCATAAAATACTGTCAAATAAGAATATACCACCACCTAACGGAACACCTTGCAATATGAGTGTAGGTATAACTCTTTTTTGCTCAATTTTCGGAAGCAAAATGGCTGTGAAACGAGCAGGTAAATTGTCACAACTTTTGCACCAAAAGACGAACTTGATGAAGTGAAAATCGAAAGTGTCCGAAGTGTCCGAAAACGTAGGTGTCACGTGCCAATTTCCTTGCACAAAACAGATTTATGGTGTGAGTGAGTGAGTCAATGAGTTTAGTTCTGCACCGCAGCAATATTCCAGCTATATGTCGGCAGTCTGTAACAATCCAGTAATCAACATCATGAGCATCGATTTACGCAACTGAGATACGATGACATATGTCAACCAAGTCAGCAAACCTGACCATCCGATCCCGTAAGCCAAGGGGTTAAAGCGTTCGCTCGTCACGCCGAAGACCCGGGTTCGATTTCCCGTATAGGTACAATGTTTGAAGCCCGTTACTGGTGTCCCCCGCCGTAATATTGCTGATATATTGCTAAAGGCGGTGTAAAAGTAAACACACTCACTCAATGAGTGAGGGAGGGAGGATTGGATTGAAAGAATAGACAACAAACCATGAAATGGGAAAAGCCTGGTTACAAAGCCAGTGAACAATAGTGTGAGCATAAACTGATCTATTGTAGAATGACGTCATATCTGACTGGCTACAGCAACAGTAGACAGCAGTCAATCTGTTTCTCAAAGAATGTATTTCTATATTTGAGATATGTTTTGCGTCGCCGTTGCTGGTTTAAAATCACATGTTTTTCCTCGATTCAATACCTTTCTTCAACATGATTGGGGCGGTGGGGTAGCCTAGTGGTTAAAGCGTTGGCTCGTCACGCCGAAGACACGGGTTCGATTCCCCACATGGGCACAATGTGTTAAGCCCATTTCTGGTGTCCCCCGCCGTGATATTGCTGGAATATTGCTAAAAGTGGCGTAAACTAAACTCAGTCAGTCAGTCAGTCAACATGATAGGCCCAGACCTCCGTGTGGAAGGAGGTTCCGTTAAATGAATTTTCTGATCAATCAGTCAGCGTTGAGGCGTATTTGTTCTCGGTACAAGCGAGAAAATCGTTTACAGTTCTCAATTTTGGAAAATTAACATAAACTGGCATCAGTGGGGCTTTAATCCCAACTCACTATCATTTGTTTACATGTGAATTATGCAATGTGTCTGGCACATATTATATTGCAGTTTAAGTTGAGGTTATAAGTGTATCTTCCATATCTAAGCTATTTATACAACCACAGCGTGTGACTGGCACATAAAATAACCCGAGAGTGTGGTCGTTCCTGAAACAAACACCATGGTTCGCATCGGGGTCTTCTCTTTGCTGTTCGCCTTGCAACACATTAACGCCCTGCCTGTCATCGACGAATGTTTTCACTCCAGCCACAATTACGGACACCAGGAGCATTCCTGTAATTGTCTGGATACATGGAGGGGGATTTATCATTGGGGACTCTTTCACCTATAATCCTTCATCGATCGTTGCCAACGGACAGGTAATATCGTTTGGGGCCACTTGGATTCCTCAGCACAAAGGACAAAGTGTCAGCGGGAAACTATGGCCTCTGGGACCAACATCTTGCTCTGCAATGGGTCAAGAAAAACATTGCATCTTTTGGCGGGGACATCAACAGCATTACCCTCATGGGAGAATCAGCAGGATCCGCCAGTGTGGCATTCCAGGCCTTGTACTCAGGGTCCAAGGGTTTGTTTCAGAGGACTCTGCATGTCTGCCTCGTCCTCATGGGCTTATACAAGGAACTCTCTTAAATATGCACGACAACTGGCTCATAAACTAAACTGTTCCTCCCAGAGCGATTCCGCATCCATGATCGCCTGTCTAAAGAACCGTGTCTGCCAAGAAGTTGACTGCAGCATCATGGCCAATGGGAAATGAACCCGTCACAGCATCAGCCGAGTTCTATTTTGTACCTACTATTGATGGGATATTTGTCAAAGACGACACGTTGTTACTAATGAGCTCCCCAGGTTATCTAAAGCAGGTATCCAAAATCTGGACTGCATGGTGTCGGTGGTAAGCAATGAAGATGGGCTGTTCAAGAGACTTTGAAAAGCAGCTGATTATCTGTTCCACTCGTCATTATCCTCATCAGTTCAGAACAAGACATTCTACAGGAACATCTTCGTCCCAGAGGTTCTTCAGGTTTATTTCGGAACATCCTCTTCTGACATGACACAGGCCGTGGTTAAAGTGTATGCCCCCTCTCAAAGCCATACCGTTACTCTTCAGGCAGTAATAGACACTCTTGGTGATGCTGGAATGGTTGCCCCAGGGACGCTCTTTGCGAGGGCGCATTGAAAGCTGAGCAGCAGCTTGAAAACGGGGAAGAAGACCTACATGTATGTGTTTGACCCCATCCCATCCTTTATGAGCGGTCAGGGCAAGGGGATAGATGATGGCGAAGACCTCTATTACACTTTTGGTCTCAGCAAAGCCATCTTGGGTGCTTTCGCAAAGGTTTTCCCCATCAGTTCAACAGATCCAGATAAATCGGAAAGGAAGCTCTCACAAACATTGATGGGGCTGCTGACAGATTTTGCAAGATATGTGTATGTTTGGTAAAACGTTTTAACAAGAATGGTTGTAAGGAGTACGACGGACGAGTTTAGTTTGAGTGTGTCAGAATGGGAGAAAGTGAGTGAGTGAGTGAGTTTAGTTTTACGCCGATACTCAGCAGTAATCCAGCTATATGGCGTCGGTCTGTAAATAATCCTTTCCAGACAATCCAGTGATCAACAGCATGAGCATCGATCTGCGCAATTGGGAACCGATGACATGTGTCAACCAAGTCAGCGAGCCTGACCACCCGATCCCGTTAGTCGCCTCTTACGACAGGCATAGTCGCCTTTTGTGGCAAGCATGGGTTGTTGAAGACCTATTCTAACCCGGATCTTCACGGGTCGAATGGGAGAAAGCCATCGTTTGATTGCTTGTGACTTCTGAAAGACATCATGGGTATGTTCGCCAAATAAGCTTCATAAAAATGTGTATGGAATGCGGTGAGCTTTGTTGGTTTGATTCTGTCAGTAAGGTAGGATGAAAGTGCAAATGTGTTGTGAGTCAGCAATTGATGGGCACATTGAAGTACATGAATATTTTAAACCTCTTACCCTTACAGAATACGCTAAACTTTCCGCAACACACAATGTATTTCTATTGCCTTGTTTTCCCATATGATAGGGATTTGGGATTACACTTTCTGACTAAAGTACAGATTTTAATAGTTTTGTCAGGTTGAGTCCCATCCGGGATTTGAACCCAGACTCCCAGAGTGAGGCACCTATCCCCAGCAGACAGTCATTGCACTGTTATTGTTTGTATTTCAAGCTCATTTGGTTAAAGCTATGATTAATTTGACAAATGGGAAATAGATAGATATTCTTTATTTCCTCCATAAAATGAAGATTACATTTATCTGATAAACAACAGTACAGAAATTTGTCTATTAGTACTTGAAATATACAGTGATGTTCCATTGTGAAAGATCTGTAGGTATTTATGAACATTGCCGGAGCATGCTCTCCCAACTACGAACTGAGGAACTAATGATTACCTCCAGTTCTGACCAAATGTTACAACTAATACATCTTTACAGTGGTCAGGTAACCCTCCAAGGAGGAATGACAGGAATACGTCATCGTCTGCAGTACATTGTCCAACTGCATTTGGTCATATGTACTTACCTTATCCTTGACTAGTTGCGACCAAGCAATGTTCCAATGATCAAAGTTACATATTTTGTTTCACTTTTGAGATTTAAACTTCAGGCTTTTGTGTCATTAAAAGTGATATTACGCAAAGGTTATGTAGCTCACCTCAATGTTGTGAACTATTTTAAGTGACCTGATAATCATTGAGGGCTGTTTCTACTTTACAGTGATCCCAACAACGCTGTACAGTATGGCCTGCACCAGACTTGGCCTCAGTTCTCGGAGCCAGGGGAACACTATCTACTGCTGAATACCACAATGTCCGTCGGATCCAAGCCCTACAAGGACCGGGTCACCTTATGGACGCAGACACTGCCGCGTCTCCTTCAAGCTGCACAGAACCAGCATCACACGACGAAGAACCCCCACCCTAACATTGTCGGTTAGCCATGCAACGACTGCAAGATGCTGACTTTTCGAATTAAAAAAGTGGGATTTCATTTGTATTTAAATGTGTAATTGAGTTACAAATGTAAAAGCCGTCAGGAGCAGATATTATTGTAAACAGTTCATATATCTAATCTCATCGGCGCTCATATGAGTTGAGCTCTAGTCCGGTGAAGATCCGGTTTAGAACTGGTCTTCAGCAACCCACGCTTGTCGTAAGAGGTGACTAACGGGATCGGGAGGTCAGGCTCGCTGAATTGGTTGACGCATGTCATCGTATCCCAGTTGGGTAGATCAATGCTCATGCTGTTGACCAGTGGACTGTGTGGTCCGGACTCGATTATTTACAGACTGAAACCATATTACTGGAATATTACTGAGTGCGGCGTTACACAACAAACCAAACCATCTGAATTTGGGGTGAATAATTAAAGACACCCATGAAATGTTTCCAAAACCTATAACAGTATTTTACGTACGCTTCGCAAGGCTGCCCGATCAAGTTTGATATCCGTTTTAAAATATTTGATCCATGAGTTGCGTTGTGTCGATCTGTGCACTTATGTTCACGATAGTTGTTAAAATATTTCCGTGAACAGCCATATGTTAGTTCGGATCAATTATGATATCTACTGAACACGTCCTTTCAAAACTTATGCAAAACTAAGTTGCCGTTTAAAATATACAGCTGATAAATACTCCCTTAGGACTGATTTGCTTAATGCGGTTGGCAGCTGACCTAATACATCGCAGTATCCTCTGACTCAGATTTCAGGAACCGTTAGGCTATGATTCGAACCAAGATTAGCTTCTATCAAGAGCCTTGGTTTGTTTACCCGACTTGAGGATTCTACATTCTGAAAGTGAGTGAATTTGGTTTTACGCGGCTCTGAAATGGGGACATCAGAAAAAGGCACTATGGACCCAAGAAGGGAAAAGATCCCTGGTCTTCGGCGCGACAAGCAAACGCTTTCACCATTAGGCTATCTCGATGCCCCAACATTCTAAAAATGAACTCCTTAAACATGCACAAGTGCTATAACTGTGTATTCATTTCAAAGACAGGTGTGATTATGAAACATTCTTGTAATGTTACATCATTTGTAAAAATGTGAATTGCACCAAGTGGCTGGAACATTCTGCGATGCAGTCTTAGAAATCCCCTACGCAGTTCCGCCGACATGCCTCTCCCATCACACCGTGAAGAAGCCGCAACATCAGATAATCGGCAGCTGTGCAACGACTGCAGGTTTAGATAATTGGCAGTTGTCAACGACTGCAACATGAGATTATCGGCAGCTGTGCAACGACTGCAGCTTCAGATTACCGGCAGCTGTGCAACGACTGCAGCTTCAGATAATTAGCAGTTGTCAACGACTGCAACATGAGATTATCGGCAGCTGTGCAACGACGGCAGCTTCAGATTACCGGCAGCTGTGCAATGACGGCAGCTTCAGATTATCGGCAGCAGTGCAACAACTGCAGCTTCAGTTTACCGGCAGCTGTGCAACGACTGCAGCTTCAGATTACCGGCAACTGTGAAACGACTGCAGCTTCAGATTACCGGCAGCTTTGCAACGCCGGCAGCTTCAGATTACCGGCAGCTGTGCAACGACTGCAATTTCAGATTACCGGCAGCTGTGCAACGACTGCAGCTTCAGATTATAATTACCGGCAGCTTTGCAACGACTGCAGCTTCAGATTATCGGCAGTTATGCAAAGACTGCAGCTTCAGATTACCGGCAGCTGTGCAACGACTGCACCGTGAGATTATCGGCAGCTGTGCAACGACTGCAACATCAGATTATCGGTAATTGGGTTTGTTCCAGAGGATAGTCATGCAGAGCGGGTCTGCCTCTTCCTCGTGGGCTCACACAAGGAACTCTTTGAAATATGCACGACAACTGGCCCATAAAGTAAACTGTTCCTCCCAGAGCGATTCCGCATCCATGATCGCCTGTCTGAGGACCGTGTCTGCCAAGAAGTTGACTGCAGCATCATGGCCAATGGGAAATGAACCCATCACAGCATTAGCCGAGTTCTACTTTGTACCTACCGTTGATGGGATATTTGTCAAAGACGATCCGCTAACGCTAATGAACTCCCAAACTTACCTGAAGCAGGTAGGGCTTCAAAAACTGGACTGCATGGTGTCCGCGGTAAGCAATGAAGGAGGAATCTATAAATTCCTTGCACGAGCAGCTGATAATCAGTTCCATGTGTCGTCATCCTCATCGGTTCAGCACAAGGCATTCTACAGGAACACCTTTATCCCAGAAGTTCTTCAGGTTTATTTCGGAACATCCTCCTCTGACATGACACAGGCCGTGGCTAAGGTGTATGCCCCCTCTCAAAGCCATACCGTTAATCTTCAGACAGTAATGAACACTCTTGGTGATGCTGGAATGGTCGTTCCCGTGATGCAATTTGCGAGGGCTCATGCAAAGCTGAGCAGCAGCTTGAAAACGGGGAAGAAGACCTACATGTATGTGTTTGACCACATCCCATCCTTTATGAGCGGTCATGGCATGGGGCTGGATCATGGTGATGACCTCATGTGCACGTTTGGTCTCAACAAAGCCTACATGGCTGCTTTGGCAAAAACGTTCTCAAACAGTACAATGGAGCCAGACCAATCCGAAAAGGAGCTTGCACATACGGTGATGGGACTGCTCACAGATTTCGCAAGACATGGGTATGTTCGCTAAATATCCTTTACAAGAACAAATTGGAATGCGGTGAACTATTTGAGCTTGAATGTGTTGATATGTTACAAAGAGATGAGCAGATGTTTTGTTATTAAGATTGTTGTGTTATGCACCATTCCGCAATTTTCCAGCCAGTTCATAATCAACGATGGACCAGAATTTACTGAGAAGCATTTGTTGCCTTTTAAGGGTTGACTGGCTCTGGACAAGTGGAAGAAGCCAAGCAACTCAAAATGAAGTCATGCAAACCACACTTCCTTTAATATGATTAATTCGCAGTCAGGTGTAAGGCCTATTCCATGAGAAATGTCTCAAATTTTCCCCAGGTAATACTTATAGTATTAAGGCTTAGAATGGAACTGGGCACAAAAATTGTTTCACAAAGCCAAAAACAAGTGTTAAGATGACCATGACGTCCATGTTTTAAAATAGATTTACAACAGACATGACGCTAAGACAGCCTTGTGGAATGGGGCTAAGAACGAAGAATATTTTGGTTGGTTTTTGTTTAATGTCGCATTTTGCATCAATACTATCTGAATGTTTATAGAGTGAAACAATCGAATCTTGTTCAGGCGAACATGTGGTCAGAATTGCTAGCAAGCAGTTGTTCCTGTTGTGCCTCTCCTGAGGTTTGTCCGAAGTGCTTCATCAGCTAATCAGCGTCTAGTCTAATTAGTTCTCGGGACGAGAGGGCATAGCCTTTGAAGTTCGAGTGAAGAAAATAACATAAACAGGCATCGAAGTGGCTTGAATCAAGGCTGACTATCATTTGTGAGCATTTCTTATGTTGAACGTATCTGGTTGATTCTTCATTGCAGAAAGAGAAGAGTTAACTAGGGCATCTTGTATCTTGAAAGCTATTTATACTACCATTGCGATTGCACAACACGCGTGACTGTTACATAAGATAAGCTTTTAAGTTTCAAGACTATGTTCGTTCTTCATAACAACACAATGGTTCTCATCGGTGTCTTCACCTTGTTGTTTACCTTGCAATTCCTCAACGCTCAACCCATCGTCGACACCCCTTGGGGTTTAGTTGAGGGGACCACGAACGTCACCGAGGACTGGACACCTTATCATGCATTTTTAGGAATCCCCTTCGCAGTTCCGCCTACAAGGAGCAAACGGTTCAAGCGACCACAGCCACATCCTGGGCTTAATCACATCTTTAAAGCCAACAGTTATGGTCCAGCTTGCGTCCAAACTCTCAAGGCGTTTGGTGGATACGGTGCCACTGGGGACGAGGATTGCTTAACACTGAATGTATTCACTCCAGCCTCAATTACGGAAACCAGTAACATACCTGTAATTGTCTGGATACATGGAGGGGGATTCGTTTCAGGAGATGCTTTCTCCTATGATCCTTCATCGATAGTTGCCCATGGACAGGTCATAGTCGTCACCATCCAATACCGCTTGGGACCGCTTGGGTTCCTCAGCACAAAGGACCACGTGTCAGCGGGAAACTATGGCCTCTGGGACCAACATCTTGCTCTGCAATGGGTTAAGAAAAACATTGCATCTTTTGGCGGGGACATCAACAGCATTACCCTCATGGGAGAATCTGCAGGATCCGCCAGTGTGGCATTCCAGGCCTTGTACTCAGGGTCCAAGGGTTTGTTTCAGAGGACAGTCATGCAGAGTGGGTCTGCCTCGTCCTCATGGGCTTATACAAGGAACTCTCTGAAATATGCACGCCAACTGGCTCATAAACTAAACTGTTCCTCCCAGAGCAGTCCTGCATCAATGGTCACCTGTCTGAGGACTCTCCCTGCCAAGAAGTTGACTGCAGCATCATGGCCAATGGGAAATGAACCCGTTACAACATTAGCCGAGTTCTATTTTGTACCTACTGTTGATGGGATATTTGTCAAAGATGACCCACTGGTTCTAATGAGCTCCCCTGGTTACCTGAAGCAGGTAGGACTTCAAAATCTGGACTGCATGGTGTCGGTGGTAAGCAATGAAGGAGGAATCTATAAGGTCCTAGCAAGGGCTGCTGATAAGCACTTGCACTCGTCGTTTTCCTCATCGGTTCAGAATAAGACATTCTACAGGAACACCTTCGTCCCAGAGATTCTGGAGCTATATTTCGGAGCATCTTCCACTGACTTGAGACAGGCTGTAGCTAAGGTGTATGTCCCCTCTCAAAGCCATACCTTTACTCTTCAGGCAGTAATGAACACCTTTGGTGATGCTGGAATGGTTGCCCCAGCGACGCTCTTTGCGAGAGCACATGCAAAGCTGACAAGCAGCATGAAAACAGGGAAGAAGACCTACATGTATGTGTTTGACCACGTCCCATCGTTTATTAGCAGTCAAGGCAAGGGAGCGGATCATGGCCAAGACCTCATGTACACTTTTGGTCTCACCAAAGCTATCATGGCTCCTTTGGCAACACTTTTCCCCAACGGTACATCTCATCCAGACCTATCGGAAAAGGAGCTCGCACACACACTGATGGGACTGCTGACAGATTTCGCAAGATATGGGTATGTTCACCAACTATTCTTCATCAGAAAAATCTAGGCAGTGCGATGATCTATTTTAGCTTGATTGTGTCAAAATGGTAGGATATCAGAGTGCAAATGCATTGCTTGTTAGCCTGTCCAACTCGGCAATATTTTAGCCTGTTCATATTCGAGTTTGCATCAGAACGGAGTCAGAACGAATGGTCGTTTTCCAAAGGTAGGAAAGTTTCGTTAGTTGGTGGTATTCACTTGTTTAAGATTTGCTTATGATAACTCGCTGGACCCAATCCAAAATATGGTCAGCTGGGTAGCCTAGTGGTTACAACGTTACTTATCAACCGGAAGACCATGGTTCGATTCCCAAGATGGGTACAATGAGTGGCCCCTGCCTTGATATAGCTGAAACCATACTCTCTGACTCACTCGGTCCATAATATGTTGCAGGTAATATCTGTAACAATTCTTTCACTTTTCCAATGTTGATATATGGAATAATCCAACTCATCAAGTCTTTCCACCTGAGCAAACTTGATGCCTCTAATGACCAGCATAGTTTGTTGGGGACATATTCTACCCAGGAATGCCCACGAGGTGTACCCTTGATGATCCGGGTTAGAATTGATCTTCAGCAACCATGCTTGTTATAAAAGGCGACTAACGGGATTGGGTGGTCAGGCTCGCTGATTTGGTTGACACACGTCAGCGTATCCAAGTTGTGTAGATCGATGCTCATATTGTTGATCACTGGAGTGTCTGGTCCAGGCTCGATTATTGACAGACCACTGTCATATAGCTGGAATACTGCTGGGTGCGGCGTTAAACTACCAACAAACCGAGGAGGAGCGTGGAACACTGCTCTCAATGTGGGAGTAAGCCCGATGTGACCCAGGTTGCGGACACCATCGTGTCAATGTGATGACATTGACCGACCGTTGACTTTTATCACAATGAATTTGCTGCATGTTTTGGGGCAGTGGATAGTTGTTCCCTTGACGACTTCACCACATATGCTCCCCTCTTTGTGATCAATGTTTCCTGTGGACAGGTTCAACAAAACAAAGGTTTTTGTGTTGTGTTTGATAATTATACAGTAGGTCTGACATAATACGAGGATAGCAGCTCACCTGCATGGAGTGAAATATTTACAGGAACAGAGATGGGTTCATTAATGAATCCCATTCCTTCAGGTGGTCTGTCAGTCGGTTTCACAAAGAATGTTTTTTCTACGTGTGTGTTATGTTTTGCAAGGTTATTGTTGGTGAAACTTTAAAACCACATGTGTTACCATGATTCAATATCATTCTCCCTCATGATAGGACAAGCCCTCCCAAGGAGGTCCGGTCAGATGAACAGTCTGATCAACCAGTCAGCGTCGAGGCGTATTTGTTCTCGGTTTGAGAGAGCAAATCCTTTCCAGTTCTGAATCTGGAAAATTTACACAAAGGAGCCACAAAGCAGCCTTAATCTCCCTCACTATCAGTTGCTTACATGTGAATTGTGCAATGTGTCTGGCACATATTATATTGCAGTTTAAATTGAGGTTATAGGTGTATCTTGCATATCTTCAGCTATTTATACAATCACAGAAAGTGACTGGCACATAAAATAACCCGAAAGTGTGGTCGTTCCTGAATCCAACACGATGGTTGTCATCGGGGTCTTCACTTTGCTGTTAGCCTTCGAACACCTTAATGCCCTGCCTGTCATAGACGCCCCGTGGGGTGTAGTTGAGGGGACCTCAAACGTCACCGAGGACTGGACACCTTATCATGCATTCTTAGGAATCCCCTTCGCAGTTCCGCCTACTGGGAGCAGACGGTTTAAGCCACCCAAACCACATCCTGGGTTTAATCACACCTTCAAAGCCAACAAGTATGGTCCAGCTTGCGTTCAAACTCTCACGCGGACTGTTGGACATGGTGCCACTGGGGACGAGGATTGCTTAACATTGAATGTATTCACTCCAGCCTCAATTACGGAAACCACGAACATACCTGTAATTGTCTGGATACATGGAGGGGGATTCACTGGAGGGAATGCTTTCGTCTATGACCCTTCATCGATAGTTGCCCATGGACAGGTAATAATGGTGACCATCCAATATCGCTTGGGGCCACTTGGGTTCCTCAGCACAAAGGACGATGTGTCAGCCGGAAACTATGGCCTCTGGGACCAACATCTTGCTCTGCAATGGGTTAGGAAAAACATTGCATCTTTTGGCGGGGACATCAACAGCATTACCCTCATGGGAGAATCTGCAGGATCCGCCAGTGTGGCATTCCAGGCCTTGTACTCAGGGTCCAAGGGTTTGTTTCAGAGGACAATCATGCAGAGTGGGTCTGTTTCGTCCTCATGGGCTCACACAAGGAACTCTCTGAAATATGCACGACAACTGGCTCATAAAGTAAACTGTTCCTCCCAGAGCGATTCCGCATCCATGATCGCCTGTCTGAGGACCGTGCCTGCCAAAACGTTGGCTGCAGCATCATGGCCAATGGGAAATGAACCCGTCACAGCATTAGCCGAGTTCTATTTTGTACCTACTATTGATGGGATATTTGTCAAAGACGACCCGTTGTTACTAATGAGCTCCCCAGGTTATCTAAAGCAGGTAGGGCTTCAAAATCTGGACTGCATGGTGTCGGTGGTAAGCAATGAAGGTGGGCTGTTCAAGAGACTTTCAAAAGCAGCTGATTATCTGTTCCACTCCTCATTATCCTCATCAGTTCAAAACAAGACATACTACAGGAACACCTTCATCCCAGAGGTTCTTCAGGTTTATTTCGGAACATCCTCTTCTGACATGACACAGGCCGTAGCGAAGGTGTATGCCCCCTCTCAAAGTCATAGCGTTACTCTTCAGGCAGTAATGAACACTCTTGGTGATGCTGGAATGGTTGCCCCAGGGACGCTCTTTGCGAGAGCGCATTCAAAGCTGAGCAGCAACTTGAAAACGGGGAAGAAGACCTACATGTATGTGTTTGACCACATCCCATCCTTTATGAGCGGTCATGGCAAGGGGATGGATCATGGCGAAGACCTCTATTACACTTTTGGTCTCAGCAAAGCCATCTTGGGCGCTTTCGCAAAGGTTTTCCCCATCAGTTCAACAGATCCAGATGAATCGGAAAGGAAGCTCTCACAAACATTGATGGGACTGCTGACAGATTTTGCAAGATATGGGTATGTTTGGTAAAACGTTTTTACAAGAATGGTTGTAAGAAATACGACGGACGAATTTAGTTTGAAAGTGTCAGAATGGGAGAAAGACATTATCGTTTGATTGTTTGGAACTGCTGAAAGACATCATGGGTATGTTCGCCAAATAATCTTCATGAACATTTGTATGGAATGCGGTGAGCTTTGTTGGTTTGATTCTGTCAGTAAGGTAGGATGAGAGTGCAAATGTGTTGTGAGTAAGCAATGGATGGGCACATTGAAATACATGTGTATAGTAAACTTCTTACACTTACAGAATACGCTAAACTTTCCGCAACACACAATGTATTTCTATTGCATTGTTTTCCCATATGATTGGGATTTGGGATTACACTTTCTGACTAAAGTACAGATTTTAATAGTTTTGTCAGGTTGAGTCCCATCCGGGATTTGAACCCAGACTCCCAGAGTGAGGCACCTATCCCCAGCAGACAGTCATTGCACTGTTATAAAAAAAATTTCAAGCTCATTTGATTAAAGCCAAGATTCATTTGACAAATGGGAAATAGATAGATATTCTTTATTTCCTCCATAAAATGAAGATTACATTTATCTGATAAACAACAGTACAGAAAATTATTAGTACTTGAATTATACAGTGCTGTTCCATTGTGAAAGATATGTAGGTATTTATGAACATTGCCGGAGTATTCTCTCCCATCTGCGAACTGAGGAACTAATGATTACCACCAGTTCTGACCAAATGTTACAACTAATACATCTTTACAGTGGTCAGATAACCCTCCAAGGAGGAATGACAGGAATACATCATCGTCTTCCATCCACATTTTAACAAAATGTCTTTGTCAAGGTTGTCACAGATTCTTTCAAATAGGGAATCCCTTTCTACTAGGTTATACTTGCATGACATAAAAACATGTTTCATAATGTCGTGAGCAACTGTTCCGCATAGACATTCCTTTGATTCTTTTGGAGTTGCACCTAGCCGTGTAATTCTCGCAATGTCAGTGAAGTTCTGAGGTCGTTCTAAAGCGAGTATCCATAGTCTATGTTCATGTCCTGATCTTATTGATAAATAACCTTGGCTGCAGTACATTGACCAACTGCATTTGGTCATATGTACTTACCTTATCCTTGACTAGCTGCAACCAAGCAATGTTCCAATGATCAAAGTTACATATTTTGTTTCACTTTTGAAATTATTACTTCAGGCTCTTGTGTCATTATGTAGCTCACCTGAATGGTGTGAACTATACTAGCCACATAAAGAAACTGTGCATTGTCAAAATATTATCCCAGTTGATATGTACGATAACAATGTCAAAGGTACATATAAACTTTAATGGAGGGATCATGAGACCATAACAATTTGGGAGAATTTCAATTGAAAAGTCAATCACAATGACGAGTCCACAAGCGGGACAGGGGTCAAACGACCATGTCACAAGCTCAATAACGGGTATGTCCACCATCGGCATTGAGAACAGCAGTGCATCGACGACGCATAGAGCCTATCAAACGTGCAAGGAAGGCTTGTGGGATGTCACGCCAGATTCTCTCGAGTTGTGTTGCAAGGTCAAGGACGTTATCTGGCGGATGAGGAAGACGGCGTAGACGTCGATCCATCTCGTCCCAAACATACTCTATCGGGGAGAGATCCGGTGAATTTGCAGGCCAAGGCAGTAAGTCAACGTTGTGGTGTTGCAAGTAATCCATAGCAACCCTTGCCGTATGAGGGCGGGCATTGTCCTGTTGGAATGTTAACCCAGGGCCATGACGTTGCAGAAAAGGAATTGCCACAGGTCGAAGAATCTGATCCCTGTAGCCCACACCAGTTAAGTTGCCCTGAACAATCACCAAAGGAGTTCTTTGGCATGCTGTTATTCCACCCCAAATCATCACGGAACCACCACCAAAGCGATTCCTCTCCAAGACACAGGCCTGTGCATAACGTTCTCCCACGCGTCTATAGGCACGTTGACGTCCATCACTATGGGAAATGTTAAACCTGGACTCATCTGTAAAAAACAACATTTCTCCACCAAAACAAGGGTCTGCGGGCATGATTTCGGCACCACAGTCGGCGAGCTTGTCGATGACGTTGTGTCAGGATAGGCCGTATGGCGGGACGTCGTGGTCTGATCCCGTGATGACGTAAACGTTGTCAAACTGTGTTGGGGTGGATACGGCGAAGTCCTGGGATGATTCGGGCAGTCATCACTGCAGTCTGAAACCTGTGGCGAAGATAGGTCACCCTTATCCTGCCTGTCTTGGCGTTGTTACACGTGGACGTCCAGAACGTGGCCGATCGATGACGTCATTTGCATTCTGGTAGCGTCTCACCAGTGCAGAAATGGTGTTCTGGTGGCAGTGGAAATGTGCAGCCACTTGTCGTTGAGACATTCCCCCACGGACCACCCCAATGGCCTCATGACGTTGTGCAGACGTGAGCCTTGGCATGCTATGCGTTTCAATAACCGTTTAATTTTTTTGAACGATCGCAAGGGCAGGGGTTGAGCTTTCCAAAGTGACAGTATTGTGTGGCATTCATTTGCTGTTTTCTTTCGCGGAATGCACGTGCAACAACGTATTGCACGTCTCAAGGACGAACCCACTGACGTCACGGAACGTGGCACGTGCATGCATGTTGGATACATGTCACTAATCTCTGAGTTTAAATCCTTATGTGTCTACACAGGTTTGATCAGTTTAGATTTTAAATTTTTGTATGCAGTTTCTTTAAGCGCCTAGTATATTTTAAGTGACCTGATAATCATTGAGGGCTGTTTCTACTTTACAGTGATCCCAACAACGCTGTACAGTATGGCCTGCACCAGACTTGGCCTCAGTTCTCGGAGCCAGGGGAACACTATCTACTGCTGAATACCACAATGTCCGTCGGATCCAAGCCCTACAAGGACCGGGTCACCTTATGGACGCAGACACTGCCGCGTCTCCTTCAAGCTGCACAGAACCAGCATCACACGACGAAGAACCCCCACCCTAACATTGTCGGTTAGCCATGCAACGACTGCAAGATGCTGACTTTTCGAATTAAAAAAGTGGGATTTCATTTGTATTTAAATGTGTAATTGAGTAACAAATGTAAAAGCCGTCAGGAGCAGATATTATTGTAAACAGTTCATATATCTAATCTCATCGGCGTTGAGTTTTAGTTTTAGTCCGGTTAATGTTAAGGTATGGCACTTAGCGCTAAGAGAGCTTCGAAAATCTAGGCCCTGGTCTTCAGCAACCCACGCTTGTCGTAAGAGGTGACTAACGGGATCGGGAGGTCAGGCTACCTGAATTGGTTGACACATGTCATCGTATCCCATTTGGGTAGATCAATGCTCATGCTGTTGACCAGTGGATTGTCTGGTCCGGACTCGATTATTTACAGACAGAAACCATATTACTGGAATATTACTGAGTGCGGCGTTACACAACAAACCAAACCTTCTGAATTTGGGGTGAATAATTAAAGACACCCATGAAACGTTTCCAAAACCTATAGCAGTATTTTACGTACGCTTCGCAAGGCTGCTCGATCACGTTTGATATCCGTTTAAAAATATTTGATCCACGCAACGACTGCAGCTTAAGATTACCGGCAGCTGTGCAACGACTGCAGCTTCAGATTACCTGCAGCTGTGCAACGACTGCAACATCAGATTATCGGCAATTGAATTTACAAATTAAATCAATAGTTGGATTTGTTTTGTGTTGGTTCGGTGATGGCGTGGGGTGCGTTTCGTATTCCTGCCATTTGGAACTCAACACAGTTCCTGGGACACTGAGTGTTCAATGTTATCATCAGGATATTCAGGATACCGCCGTCGTATCACATTTTGATAACTATCCCATTGCCAGTCGTTAAATATACAACGATGACAACACTTGACCTCGTTGTTCTGCAGCCGTCATCGACCTTTTGCAGAAATCCATAAAATGATGAGGAATTTGGTTTTTAAAGCAAATACAACATAAATAAAAATACATAAAAAGTGAGTGGTGCTTTCACCTGATTAATGCTCATGTGTATTTAAATCCCGGTTCATGCTATAATAATAAAATATTTATTAAAAGGTGAGGTTCCTCCATTTTGCATCTCTTGTGATGAAATAATCCTGTTTGACCATATTGATTTTTCCATCACTACTTTTAATGCTACCTTTTACGTAAATGTATGATAATCTAGATCTTTTACAGTTTTTGCCAACAGATTTTAGTCTTAAAATGTATTATTTATGTATGACTTGTTCTAGTCACCGAAATATGGCTGAAATATTGCAGTCGTGACTTAACTTTTAACTCACTCACGCTTCTCTTCCACATTGGGACACAACAAAATACCATCAGATCCAAATATCATGCGCACTTTTGAAAATCACGAAGTACTAGAGAACATTTCTGGCCAAGATCATATGGCCTGCAAATTGGCAGGGATTGGGAACACATTTGGCAGTCAACTCCTTCTATATTCTGGGTTCACCTCAAGTGACCTATTACGTTGGGTTGGCGTCAGGACATCAGGGCGACACATGTGCCACACTCAAACTCAATTTCGCCAATTTCAAACGAGCTGAATGCCCTGTTTTGAGTGAGTGAGTATGGTTTTATGCTGTTTTTAACATTATTCCAGCAATATCATGGCAGGGGATACCAGAATTGGGCTTCACACATTATACCAGTGTATGAAATAAGCCAAAAACCCAGCCAGACAACAGGGCTGGTAACTTCAAACTGTTACCAGCCCAAAATGGATTTAACCAGACCAGACACCAAGATATGGTGGATTTACTCAGATGTATGGAATATCTAAAAAATTACCAGACCATCGGGCTGGCTAGCTGTAAATTTAGACCGTCCGTCAGAAATCTAGCCCGTCGGGGGCGGTCGGACGGAACTTATTTCATTCACTGATTATACCCATGAGGGGAATCGAACCCAGGTCATCGGCGCGAGTGAACGTTTTAACCACCAGGCTGCCCCATCGCCCCTGAACACCCTGATGAACACAAGGACACTGACAAGGGGGACAACTCCAAATAACCGTGCCAAACGGATGTCCCCATTACATGTTGAAACGAGTGTTTTATAATGAATACACAAGGCAAAAGATACAATAAAATATCGTGAAAAAAACACAGAACAGACCACAACTGTTTTGTTTATTGGATTTACTGATTGTCTGCAAGGAGGTATACAGTCTATCAACTTTGCACACTGTACACTGATCAAACTCAACACTTGCCGATCGGCAAAAGCCACCAAAGCAATTAATAAAATATATTTCTCAGTTATAAAGCATTAATTCAAGCCCCGTGTCCTGGGACGCATCTTTGGTTTGCAATGAAACATGATGGATGAAACTAACAAAGGGGTCATGTCAAAAGTTCTAAAGCCATTTTTCACGAAATATTGGCATTTTAATGAAATTTGTATGAAAATGTCATACATCGACACCATGTGAAGCTTAAGTTAAAAAAAAAGGCTGACAGAACTTTTGACAGTGTCCCTTAGCTTTAAGCCACCAAATAGCTTTCACAGGATTAAGCCCTTCTGGGGTATTGTTAATGGATTAAAGGAAAAAGCTAGCACCAGCATGCACTGGTTCAAATTCACAATTATCAATCAGAATTCAGTTTATTGGTTTTTATCTGAAATTACTCAATAAGACAGGAAAGATATCAATTTTGAAAATGACAAGAGGCTAACACCAAATAAGGCTTAGATAGTTCTTTTAACTTATGGAAAAACATCAACATCCATTTTGGCACTGAAGATGTGTGATGTCTTTGATAATGTTCTGAAACTGTACTTGAAACATAAAATGTGCATCACCATCATCATCATCATCATCATCATCATCATCATCATCATCATACCATCCTTTTTTCTGCTGAATCAATTAAAAATTTGTTCGAAATTAAACTAGAACACTACAAGAAGTTTAATCAGAAACAAATTGCAGCAACTTCCTTTCATAATACTAAGACGTCATAGAGAGATTTTTGAGAAATTCTAAAAATTCTATAAAAATGTTATTGATTTTTCAGCATTTCTTTCCTGCAGTGAAAATATAAAAATTTATTTTCACAAGATTCAAATTTCTAATTTTTAATCATGAATGAACAAGAAAGACATCCATCCACACAAAGGACTTCAATGCCAAAATGTCAGTATGATCAACATCCTCTTGCTTCTGGTTCCAAGACAGAACCACTGTAAATTTTTCATGGTTAAGAGTAGAGATCTACACTACGCAACAAAAATAAATGACAGATAAAACTGGTGATAACATAATGATATATATGTGTGAGACAGCGAGTTGAGTGAACATACAACCTAAGGCTAAACAGATACACCTTTTCACATACACATATCTACAGCTGCAAGTTACGGACACAAGGAGGTTTCGGTATTTGTCTTCACAACCATTCGACTTTGATACAAATATTTATCAAATCACAAGATTTGTGATTTTTTCCAAACATTTTTGGGTTAAAAACTCACTATACCAAACTATATATAAACACTACAGCCATGATGAGAGGGATGCTTAATTTGTGGAATTTTCAACAATTTAAAATTAACAACTTAATAAAACAACCGTGCTTACAATAAGACAAGTTTCTGAGCATGAATTGACCGATCGTCATAATGTTCAGGACAGAAAATACTGTATGCCTCACGCTGTCAAGAGCTCAGAATAGGTTAACTTCAGTTTAACTGGGCTTGGCTTCACAAAGCAATCTTAGCACAAAGACAACAGTAACCCCAACACTTAAACAGTCTTTAATCATAGTACTGAGATCATTTTGTGAAAAGAGGCCAAGGACCAGTTCCACAAAGTAATCACAGCCCTACGGCTGTTGTAAGTCTGTGTTCATACCATCATCTTAGTAGTAAGATAACTTTGTGATCAGGGCTCAGGGACCTTCCACAAAGTAATCAGCTCTACGACTGTCGTAAGTCTGTGTTCATACGATCATCTTAGTAGTAAGATAACTTTGTGATCTGGGCTCAGGGACCTTCCACAAAGTAATCACAGCTCTATGACGTAAGTTTGTGTTAAAATACTGGTCTTACGATCGCTTAAGCACTACGATTACTTAGTGGATCAGGGCCCAGGGACCAATTCCACAAAGTAATCACATCCCTACGATAGTCATAAGTCTGTGTTGAAAGATTGCTCTTATGATTGTCTTAGCGGTACAATTACTTTGTAATCAAGGCCCAGGGTCCAGTTCCACAAAGTAATTACAGCCCTATGACTGTTGTAAGTCTGTGTTCATACAATCATCTTAGTAGTACGATAACTTTGTAATCAGGGTCCAGTTCCACAAAGTGATTACAGCCCTATGACTGTTGTAAGTCTGTGTTGAAAGATTGCTCTTACGATCGTCTTAGCGGTACAATCAATTTGTAATCAGGGTCCAGGGTCCAGTTCCACAAAGCTATACGACTAACTGTAGCCTATGTTTTACCATGGCAATTGCACATCTCAGTGCAAAGATCAAGCTATTGAAGGGGCCCCAACCAACATGAGGCACCTTGACCAGTGTATGAAATAAGCCAAAAACCCAGCCAGACATCAGGGCTGGTAACTTTAAAATGTTACCAGCCCCAAATGGACTCAACCAGACCAGACACCAAGATATGGTGAATTTACTCAGATGTATGGAATATCTAAAAAATTACCAGACCATCGGGCTGGCTGGCTGTAAATTTAGACCGTCAGAAATCTAGCCCGTCTCGGGCAGTTGGACGGGACTTATTTCATACACTGCCTTTACTCCTTTCAATCAGAGAGGGGACATCAAAACTTAGTCGACTTTAAGGTAATGGGGAAAAATAGCTGCAGTTTGCCCATCTTATTACATGTTGTACTCATATTTCCAAACCCTACCACTTGATCCTGCCCTTCGATCCAGCCCTTAACAAAAAGAACCTTGCAACAGGACATGTTGTAAGTTGATTTCTCGATAAATATCAAACTTACAATATGTTTCAACAAAATAAGAACCAAAGATTCAAGAAAAAATGAAATACAAAATAATATTTTCATCAGTCTATTTTGGTCAAGAATTTGCGTTTTACAATTTTCAAGAAATCTAAAAAATAAACATTTTACAGTGTATGTTGGAAAACAACTAAAAAATGTATTTTGTTATCAAAAAAGAGAAAATACAACATTCATTTGGTTATCAAATGAATTCAAGCAAAATCGAGCAGGACTGCTCAATTCAGGAACTGTTAGTATTACAATTAAAAAAACCATCAACAATCCATAACTGGGATTAAAATAAACAAAAAGATTCAAATTAAACAAATTAAGCATGCCTCTTAATTGCACATTCATCTTCATTCTCATTAATTTAAATAATCATAAATAATCAAGACATTGATTTAAATCAAAGTGATCATGTTGAAGGCAGTATTACGACTGGGAATCCCTTCAGTCCAAAATAACCTCGAGCCAAAGCTACAAATATTAGTAAAAACTGCTCAAAATTTCAACCATGTACTGAAAAATACATGTTAAGATAACGCAGGAGCATCATCGTCACCAGTAGCCCGTCCCAGGGTATTTTGGCAGCTGTGGATACTTATCCCAGTCTCATAGTCAACACTGTGAAAGGAACCAAAACATGGTCAGCCATTTTCATAAACATATATATCAAGATAACCAACAATTTAAAGCCAAGGCATCATGCATATCATAAGCATTTTGAAATCCACGTGACAAAACAGTTTTCAAGTCAAAAGTAAATGCTTCAAGACTTTCCAGGTCAGATTTTGGTATACATTTCAAAATTAAATATTTGAACTGTTCATTCTTCTTGGTAATGGAACACATACAACTCACTTGTGTTACCGTAATCAATGTAGTTAGTGTACATGTTTTCAACCAAGTCGGATGACTGCGGGTAATTAACAAGATTTGCTCATACCAACACACTATTACTTTTATCCATTGATGGCTTAACTTGAACCTTCACTGACAAAGGCAAAATATCTTGAAATGATAAAATTACTATGCAAAAGCTCAGATGGCGAGTGGCAGGTTTATCTGAGGTGAAACGTATTTACTCTTAAGTAAACATAACCAAGCAAATTAAGGTTAACAAAGAACATAATTCTGCTGTAGACACATTTAAAAATGGAGGATACACCTAAATAAAAAATGTCACATTTTCTTTCAGCAACTGATAATTTAGTCCATCTTCCATATCATATGATCAGTTTGTGATCTGAGCTGAAAAAATATATATACGAGACTTAGATATAAACTGAGATGCAGAAGAATGCGATATTTTTCGACTTCAAACATTTTATTCTACTTTTGTTTAATACCAACTCAATTCTAATGCAAAAAGAATGCTATAACAGCTTAGAAATAGGACAGATTCTGGACGAGGGTAGTAGGTTGTAGGGTGTCATGGCGCTTGTATTTCAGGATGTGGTTATTTGCTTATGTACTCTAACTTCATTGACTACGGTACCATGTAAACATTATTGTCTTGTATAGAAAAACAAAACATCTGTGGTTGCCATGGTGAACTTGCATTTGGAAGATCAATGACATGAGCAGAGATGGAAAAAACGAACAAAATAAGATCTTATCTCAGCTATAGATCAATATCACAAGGTTCCATCTTTCGTCTTAAAAAAACATTGAAAAAAGTTCAATCTACAAAGTCTTTGGTATCGTCTATTAAATACATTCACACAGAGCCTTTACACAATTCTGTGCAACATTTAAGTCTCTATCACCACAAGTGCATTATACTGTATATGAAACCATGCAAGTTTAATAAATGATATGTAGTGACTATCAAATGAAAAAAGAAGTTGTGGGTGTAGTTACTGTAGAAGCTGAATTAAAATTTCTTCTGAGTAGTGACCATGCTTGGTTAATACAGGCAAATTCACTTCACCAAGAATTGACAAAAATCATTCACCTTTTATGGTATCACAAATACAGGGTTATACTCATATTTTTCAAAAAATTCAATTTCAACATTCTTCACTGATATAAAATAAAGTTTAGATTGGACATTAGGAGCATGCAAATTGTTGAAAAATGATTTTTATCAACATCTTTTCAACATCTAGCACTATGGCACAAACATTAAATAATAAATACATTTTCAGCTTTTCAATGTAGTTATCTCCCCTTAACCAGGCTTATGGCTACCTCAGTCTTTGTGATATATTAATTCTTTGCAAGCACTGAATATTCATATTTACAAACTCTTCAGAATAAATATACCAGCATTTAAAATACTTTTACATTAATTTGTAGACATCAGTACAAATCTAAATCCACAGACTGTTCTGCACTTCCAGCGATTTATTTCGCATAGTTTCAATGCAAATGATATCAAACGTGTTTCATGGGGAATAGTGATATGTTTCAATTTGCCATTAAGAAATAAGACAGGTCTTTGGTGAATTGACATCAAAATCTATGAAAAAATAACAATACTTACAACAACAAAAAGATTCAACAGGATCGTATGGTATTAGTTGGGACTCATTGTTGTACGACATACAAACAGACAGTACCCTCTCAAACTGGGATCTTATTAAAAATTACAACATAATAGGAGATCCTACAAAGCATGAATATTAACACCGTACAAAATAGAAAGTTATTATCTGCAAAATAATTTCACAGGTATGTGATTTTTCAATCTTTCCGAGCTGACAAACATTTGAATTGAAATAGTACACATTTGCTTCTTGTAAATGTTTTGTTGCAATTGTTTCACTTTGGCCAAAATAAATTGATTACCACATTTTCATACCCAGCACTAAAGCATGCAGCTCATATCAGTTTGTCCTAGATGAAGGAAAACTCTTAGCATTTTGCATTTAATTTAATTTAAATACACTGTATACCAAGTCATATAAAACGCTGATGAAGTTTTGAAATATGTGAGATGTAATAAATGCCTCAGACTACGATTTTGATTTTTCTCTTCTAAAATGTAATAATTAATTGATAAATTAATAATTAAATTATTGTGGCCTTATTGACACATATTATAATTACTAGTACACCTTACAAATGTATCTGTACATAACACCACATCTAAAATATGCGTCCCGGGAAATGTTTACAAATGTCAGTTTGAAGCTGCAGATACCTTCATACAAAAGAGTAGAAAAAGATCATCGTCTACGTCTGAAACTACGAACGTGAACTACATCTAGATACCATAAGCTGAATCCCAACTAATATCCACCATCATTTCTTAAACAACAGCTGACAGCACAGACAGCAATCAATGAGATTTGGCTTTCTTTCGATCATTATGGAATACTGTTTCGAGTTAGTGTCATAAATATAATTTATTTGTAATAATCATAAAATTTACGGCATAATTTTGGGTTCTCCAACCCACAAACAACTCTAACAATATTTAATACATACGTTGAAACACTGGGACAAAGTTTTGAAAACATTTTGGTTGACAATGGAAAAATGACCAATGACAATATACAACAATGAATGAACACACTGTTTAAAAATACAGTCTCATTTCCTCCATCGGGCAGCTGGGAGGGATTTTTGTCAAGAATTATTTTGATTTTTAAACACAGCCATATATATATATATATATCCTGTCAGGTTTCAAATGCATCCTGACGTTTAGTGTATCTCCAAACAGTCAGGTGACTATATGCAAATATTCGCAAATACGGAGAATACATCTGGCAGTCAAGAAATACCAGTTCGTGTACTCATGAAAATCCTCGTTTTCATTATCCAGCATGCCTGGTTTGGCAATACTGAAGGAATATTATCATTGTGATGGGCAAAAGAAGGGTTTACAGTCATGGGATTAAACCCAGTCTTCAGGAAGTGCTTCACCAACTGAGCCAATCAACATCCATGTACAAAGAGCACGGTTCTCTTCTCTACCAATAGTTTTCAGATACAGAATATCGATGTCTGCAAAAATATGCTTAGTGAGCAATTTTGGTAAGGCCTATACTTTCAGTGATGCAAAAAGGTTCTGATTTACAATGAGGATTTTCTGAGTTCACTTACAAGCACATTTGCAAAGTTTACTCGTTAGACACCTTGTGTCCCTCTCCTAATACTACATCAAGCTGTATCGATGAGCGTTGCCTTAACTCTCCACATTGTTTCCCAAGTCTGCAGTGGGTTGTGTACCCTTTCCCCAAGTTTTCCGTTGGATTTAGATATATGTTTGAAATTGCCCCCCTCAGCCCCCGTGATTGTCAAACAAAATATAACACTCCTGAAAATGGTCACACTGCCACAATTTCAGACATTTTTTAACATTTTCTGCAAAACTGGGCACTTCTTATTCAATGTTTGTGGGTCGTCGCCCTCATTCATAGTGTCTGTTTCATTCCTGACTAGGTGACCACTCTCGTCTCCCCCTGAACCCCCCACCATCCCTTGAGGCCATGACACTCCCAGCATGCCGTTGGCCATCTGACCAATGGGCACATGTGGCTGTAAAGGGTTTGACACAGAGCTCAATTCTGGCTGACCGATCGTAGCACTAGATACTGTTAGACTAACACCTTCTTCTGTAACCTCTGCCTGCCGAGAGGCTTTGGGGCCTGAGGCTCCTTCGACAGACGAGGAGTCCGGAGGGCGTTTCAGGCCAGAGTTCATGGGTGGCAAGTTTGGAGTGTCGGAAGCAACACTGCCTTTTGAACTAAAATGCTGCAAAGATGTAGATTCTTCAGGGAAATTGTCGCGCTGCACATTTGTATCTTCTTCCTCATTCACGATTTCATTTCTCCTGGCGATAGCGTAAAGTTCGGCCTCATTCCGGACAATCCACTGATTCTTGGCCACAGATATGATTTCAACCTCCTGATCACCAAAGAGGAGGAAATTTTTCTCATACTTAGGTTTTGAGGTCTGGCTGGCCTCTTCGGGGACTTTTTCACAAGATTTCACTTTTTCAGAGGATTTCGGTTTTTCAACAACTTTTTCAGGCAAGTTTTCCACAACCTTTTCGATAACTTTGTCAGTTATTTTTTCTTTCATAATTTTCTCTACTTTCTTTTCTTTGGTTTTCAACACTTCAGGACATCTCAAGTCTTTATGAGCTGCCGATAAATCTAATGGAGCACCTGCAGAGCCGTCGCCCCGGGATACTTTCCATCGTTGTTGCAACTGCAGTTGGTGTCCCGGGCATTCGCCAGCCAGCAGCTGCAGCTGCTGCCGCCGCTGGGAAGGGGAAGTAACCCATCATCACATTAGGTGGTGAAACTGTTGGGAAGCGAGTAACTGGAGCTGCCATTGCACCCGTTCCAAGACCGCGGTCAGGGAGATTGTAGTCATAAAGCACTGAACCGAACTTGTCATACTGAACTGCAGAGTATGCACTCGCCATTGTACCATTGGATGGGACTCGGGGCAAAGTGGGTGTTCTGGTTGTGTTCGGACGACTGGGATGAGAGGGATCAGATTTCTTTTCATGAGATTTAGGACGTCCATTCGGACTAGCAGAAGTCTTTCTGGGCGATGTCTTTGGTGATAGCTTAGAAGCTGGAGGTACAATTCCAGCACTTGAGACAGCAGCAGCTAAAGGAGACATGTCAGATCCGGGAGAGATAGCAGCCAGATCACTGGTTCGGGACAAGCTCATCAAAGTCTCGGCAATGTTAGCAGGACTTAGACTTGAGGAATTGGGAGTGGCTGATCCAGATGGTATCTCCTCCTTGATCTTTTCCACGGGTGTCTCCTCATCCTTGACCTCCTCTTTACTACCGTGGGACACCAGTCCAGCCTGAACTTGAGCAAGTTTGGAGATAATGGCCTGAAGACTTGGCTGGCTCTCCAGCTTGCCCTTCCCAGCTCTCGAGAAGCATCTACGTGTTTGACAGTTGTGTCTGGGGCATCTGATACCTCTTCCACAGCACCTGGTGGAGTTTCTGAACATGCCTTGTTTTTCTCTGGAGACACCTCTTTCACCTTCTGAGACATAACTGATGCTGAGGGCCCGTTACTGGATGCAGCAGAAGAGACAGTAGGGGAGACTTGTGATCTGGGAGTTGTCTCCCCTGGGTGACTGTCGTCTGTGGCTGTCAAGGAGGTCGTAGGGAGAACAGGTCTTCTCTGGAGACAGAAAAGTTGAAACTGATGGGCGTCCTGGACTCTCGCTCTTCACATCCTTGGATGTGATGACAGCTGGAGGGAAGCTGCTCGTGGAGGGTATCCCTGGCATCTGGACCATTAGTCTCTGCATGGTCTCTGTGTCCACCGAGATGTCTTCTGCGAGAGATGTCTGAAACCACGACAGGCATATGTAAATGCCATTTATCATAGCAACACAAAATATTGTTTACACGCTTTATTCCATCGTCTGCAATATCCTACTTATAGCATGGTGGTAATTGATTCTGGGCCAGCAAATTTGGAATCTTCAAAGGGAACAAACAGAAAAGTTGCTGTACTTTGTTGCTTATTCAATGAACAATTTAAATCAGGATTTACCAGAAGGGAGAGTGAGTGAGTTTGGTTTTACGCTGCTAGTAGCAATATTCTAGCAATATCATGGCGGGGAATACCAAAATACCTTCACCCATTGTGCCCATGTGGGGAATTAAACCCGGGTCTTTGGCGTGATGAGCGAAAGCTTTAACCACTAGGCCACCCCAGTACCTGATTCTACCCAGGCACCCCCTGCAGGGAGGTATCTAGAGCTGGGTTCGAAATATCCGATTCATAACTGCTTTTACATGACCTGGCAAAAACTATCTAGATTGTAAAACAATCTGATCACAAACACACTCAAGTTGGCTGAAGCCTTATCTTAACACAAATAGGTATCAAGTCAAAAGGAATACATGCATAGTCAGAAAGAAATGCAAACATCAGTGACTTGCAGTATCATCAAACTATAGATCACATGACTAACCAGAACCCACGACGGATACATGAGTAACTCGTCCCAGCCTCCGTAACTACTCACATCTCCATCATCATAGTTGTCGTAGCCTCGGCGGTGGAGGATGGCCTTATCGCGGATGATACGGTTGATAGAGCTAATGCTAGGAATGTTTTTCTCAGTGCAGATGCCATCAGCAATCAGTCTGGAAAGACAAACGTCAAAAACAAGTTGTAATGTTCTTTATGAGTGAGTGAGTGAGTGAGTGAGTGAGTGAGTGAGTGAGTGAGTGAGTGAGTGAGTGAGTGAGTGAGTGAGTGAGTGAGTGAGTGAGTGAGTGAGTGAGTGAGACTGACTGACTGACTGACTGACTGACTGAATTTGGTTTTACGCCGCTTTTAGCAATATTCCAGCAACATCACGGCGGGGACACCAGAAATGGGCTTCACAAATTGTACCCATGTGGGGATTCGAACCCGGGTCTTCGGCCTGACGAGCCAATGCTTTAACCACTGGGCTACCCCACCGCCCCAGTGAGTGAGAGAGAGAGAGAGAGTGACTGAGTTTAGTTTAAAGCAGCTTTTAGCAATATTCCAGCAATATCATGCTGGACACCAGAAATGGGCTTAACACATTGTACCCATGTGGGGAATCGAATCCCCGACTTCAGCTCGATGAGCGAATGCTTTAACCACTAGGCTACCCCAGCGCCCCTTGGTACTCAGTGAATGGGTGAGATGGGTTTAAGACACCAATATATGGGCTTCACATATATTATCAATGTTGAAACAAACCTGGGCCTTTGGTGTGACAAGCAAACACCTCAACCACTGGGTTTTCCCATGAGTGCGTGATGTTTAATGTCACAATCAGCAACATTCAAGCTAAACTTTCGATCGGGCAAACAAGTGACCAGAACATGAATAAGGATTGGTTGGCTGGTTTGTTGTGTAACGCACTCAGTAATATTCGATCTATATGGTAGCGGTCTGTAAATAATCGACAGACAATCCAGTGATCAACAGCATGAGCATTGATCTATGCAATTGGGATACGATGACATGTGTCAACCAAGTCAGCGAGCCTGACCACCCGATCCCGTCAGTCGCCTCTTACGACAAGCATGGGTTACTGAAGACCAATTCTAACCCGGATCTTCAAGAGTACATGAACAAAGACTCAAAGACCCAGTTGCACACTATTGAGAAAAGGAGTAGGAGTGTGGTGTGTGTGTGTGGGGATGGGTTGTGTGGGGGTGATTGGGTGTGTGTGTGGGGGGTGATGTACACACACACCCCTACCTCTCTCTCTCTCTCTCTGGATCCGCGTATGGGACATGCAGTGAGCCAAGACACAGGGTCTGACCATCTGATCTGTGATAGGTATTTAGATTTCAAATCATGGCACAGAGGAATCCCAGTAATGCCAAGCACAGTTAACAGACTCACTTTTGTGTGGAAGCTGCAGTGGCTGAGCGGGTTAGGCAGCTGACTGTGTGCTGGCGATTAGTTGCCTGGCTTTGAGGGTGTGGGTTCGAATCCCAGATTGACTCAACCCAACAAAAGTACTAGAATCTGTACTTTACTAAGAAAGTGTAATCCCAAATATAACATATGTTAGACTCACTTTTGTCGTATTTCCCATGCAAACATTTGTGGGTTTTCTGCCTTGTACTGGCGAACTCGGCTCACAACGTCAGGTGTAGTCACTTTCGGTTTGCTGCCCCCGATCTGTCCAGGGTTGATGCTTCCAGTCTTTCGGTATCTGAAACATGATAAGTAACGAAATATTTAGTCATTTAATATTCTTTCCACAATTTCCAAATTCAATTTCTCATAGAACAGCTTTCTATACCAAAAGTGGACTGAACATCTGAGTGTTCTTCTGTTTCTGCTTAATTATCATATTGTGCCAAATGATTTTCCATCCATGTGTGCCTACATGACATCCTGAACCTGAGAAAGCGATAAAGTTAGTAGAAACATGTCTTACCAGTTTTACGAGTTTGTAAACATTAAATTAATCTATGGAGAAAAATTTGCTGCTCCTGCAAAGTGACCCAGCTTGCATATTCATTGGACTGCGACACCAATTTTAACAGACTTGTTTGTTGCATATACAACACATTTACGTCACAACTGTTTTTACAAATATTCAAAATAGGTTTTCTTTAAAACTAATTTTAATTCTACCTTTGTCAAAAATTAAATAACATATTACCATTGAGCAAGCTAACTATCAACTGAAAAATATTTTCACGCACCAATTATTTTCTACACTATTTTGTCTCTTTTATCTCTCCAAAAACTGATTATGAAATAACTAATTAAACTGGTCTGGAGTGGTTAATGTGAAACGCAACCAGTAGTCAGTCTTGATTTAACAGATTAAGTCTATGATCTATGCATTAAAATGCGTCTTTTTGCCTAAAAGCAGACATTAAAAATGTTAAATTTGGTGCGACTGAAAATTGCATTTGTGTTTTGAACTGAAGGGATATTTCCATCACGCTTCACGCTCATGAAAAGCTGTCTAGACATTTAATTCTCCCTTTTATCAATGATTAACACAATAGTTGGGGACATAATGTATTACATCACGGCATTCCAGCACGGACGCCCTTCTACACATAGCTGAGGTTGTCAATCATGTATGTGGGAAGGTGATTGGGCATGACAGAGTTGTCTCCCTTCAACCAGCCACGCCATCAGGGAAGACAACACTGGTCATGTTTGTTTGTTGTTTAATGCCACACTATACTCAGTGTCAACCAAGTCAGTGAGCCTGACCACCCGATCCCATTAGTCACCTCTTACGACAAGCATGGATTGCTGAAGACCAATTCTAACCGGGATCTTCACAGATCACATTAGTCATATCTATAGGCCATTTTTGGCTTGTTGTTTATGCAGTATTTGTTGATCTTTAAAAAAACAACTCCTCTAAATTTTCACAACCCTTGTAAAAATAGTTCTGTGTAACCCTGACATGGCCAGAATCATAATTGATGAACTTCTTCTTTCAAATAGTCGCACTTCTGTGTCTATTCAGTTAACCTCATTAACATCACATAGCTATCAACATACCACTTAAAGGGGGATAATGCCTGCGTCAAATGACATGCCCAGCTAGTTTTAATCAGGTCAAGCAAACAAGCTCATATCAGGATATATCAACCTAAAACAACTCCACTTATCATAGAGAAACAGAACTTCCTTATCAAACAAGGCATGAGATCATACTTTTAAAGATCATTTAAATACTATGGTGTTCCAGACATATATTGAAAGAAACAAATAAATGATCACAGGAACATTGAAGCGCTCCTTTAATATTTCCAGTTTTCATCACCAGCTTTGTATAGAGCTGTGGTGATGAAAGCTGCAAAATAATAAAAGAATGTTTGAAGTTTAATGTGATCCTTTATTTGTTTCTCTCAGTATATTTACCTGCTGTTTCACAATAGTCAACACTGAAATACCAACACGAATACCACAGACCCTAACCGTCATACAAAAATGTTAAACAGAATGTCTCCATCACTTGTAAATACATTAAATACATACAGATACATAAATCCCATTTACGTCTCACAATGCATGACGATGCATGTCGAAACTTATTTGAAAATATTGTCCACAACTGTCAAGTATAATATTATTCCAAGCCTTCATTCAAGTGACCTGTATATAAGATATTTCAACAATACTGACAGATAACTAGGACCATAAACTATTCAGGGATTGTCGGGATTCAACTTATCCAGGGAAATGAAAACAACCCCCTGTCCCCTCACCCCCCTATTTGGCCTTTAGCACTAACACACTTTTAAAACCTTGTCAACTGAAATCATATTTCATTTAAAACTACATACAAACCATACTAATTTCAAGCACAACATATTGATCTAAAACATATACTGAATGCTTACAAATCATGTTTGCATTCCGCATCAGATATTTCCTAAAAAATTCCATTTGAAGCTCAACAATAATTGAGTACTGAAACTGAAAACTAATTCAGTTTTACTTTTTCACGTGTTAACATGAACACGATGAGAGGACAACACATTTTCCCATAATGATATTCCACTTTTGTTTGATAATAGAACAATAGCACCCCACAGACAATACGGGTTTCCAATCCCACTAATACCTAAATCCTGTTGCTAATTCCACAACTAATAAGCCAATTTGTCGCTGACTTGACATGACTAGAGCATGCTGGGAAGGTGCCTAGGGGGCCAGAGCCTGGATAGCTTCATGCTAGTTGAACTCTGGTTTGACCTGACAATGACCTAGGTTACTGTAAGAGGCCGTGGTTGGGACCATGGCGAGATTAGATAAACAGTTTATCGCTATTGTAAACCTGACCTGCATCACTGGAGCCTATGCAACACATGCTAATCGGTGCCAAATTTCTACCGCAGCCTGGCTGCTTCTTGGTATTTTCCAGCTGATGAAATATGTATTTGCGATTTGTGAAACATTACAAAATGAGAGCAGATCTATTTTGGTAAATCGCTTTGAATCTAAAACACACTAATGATGTCTATAAATATATTCTCAAATTGATTTACTCAGCATCTTAGAATATATTCTACAAATGACAACCAAAAGAGACACTGGCTTTAAAATACATTTGTTACATGAATATATTACAATTTTTATATTAAAGTCACAATCTCCCAGTAGTTACTTGAACAAGTAAACATGTCATCTCCAGTCATTTAAATAAAATTTATAAATATATTTTAAATATATATATGTTTGAATGATCCCAAAAGATTGACATTTGAATTATTTCAGCGCAACCAGAGGCCCAGATAAGCTGTGTATCCGGGTAAAATATGCATAGAAAATTTCCAATTACGCATTAAAAAAATAATTGTTGCGTACCAATTACGCATTTAAAATGTTAGATACGCAAAATGTTTAAAACAAATGCGTACGGAATATATTTATAAAAATTGCTTGCGTAATGAAAAAGACATCGATTGCTATCAAGTTGTACTGTCAGTATAGGATGAGTGATTTTTATGCAATAATTTCCATTATATTAAAGTTGGTTTTGATTAGGTATGACATAAGGCAGAACATACCTGCTTAGTAAACTTACTCAATGACATATACTTAGGTGAGTAAAATGACTGAAATACGCACATATTTGAAAGCAGTGGGTAACGGAAAATGAAATACCCACTCAACATTCATAATACCCACTCCCAAAAAATACAGTGGGTACAGTACCCACATGAGCTAAATCTTATCTGGAGCTCTGAGCGCAACTATAATGATATGCTATGAAATGAAAGTAACTACTGTATTATCTTAATTATATTGGATAAATCTTCCATGATTAAATACAGAAGTTATTTTCAAAGCTAAGATTGGTCTTGACATCTCGTGCGATGACTAACACAGCATAGAACTTGATTATGGAATACTTCAAAATATTGACTAAAGTACTTAGAAATTAACTTTACCTTCAAATAAATTGCATAATGTCAACATGTTCACATATTTATGAAACTATTTGGCTCACTGGTTTAAATAATGTGCTTCTCAAACATTAAGGATATCAAACAAAATGCAGAAACAAAACAACACACTATCTGTCTTGCTTCATTGATTAAAATATTTTTCTTACTCAGACTGATACCATTTTCTGACTAGTGAAACCAGCATATTTTTATCCATGTTATCTCATGGACTCATAAAATATTTCCAAGCTGTTCACCTGTGATTGTCAGACTCACCGATTTAGAATCTTGCTGACACAACCATGGGACACTTGCAACTGGCGACTAATCTCGCAGGGACGAATCCCTTGCAGCGCTAGTTGAAGGATCTGAACGCGAAGATGGTCGGGCAGGGGGCGGCCATTTGTAAATTCGCGGCCATATTGGTTGACGTTGTGACCACCTGCATCAAACATGGATTTCCCTTCTAAATCACATGAAAAAGGAAATAAGAATTATCCTCCTGTATTGAAAAAAACATGTTCAGCAATGTTGTTAATGCATGGGATAAAAAATGACTACATGTATATACATTGTACATCACTGTCATCGCAGGCTCTAAATAATCATGTGTCCAGAACCAGTGATGGCAATTTTTACAGACCAACGATCACCATGGCTGGTCTTCCCGCTCATGACAGACAGAAGAGCACCATCTCACTACAAGCATTAGAGTGCCGTCTTATGGCAAGCATTAGAGTGCCGTCTTATGGCAAGCATTAGAGTGCCGTCTTACGACAAGCATTAGAGCGCCGTCTTACGACAAGCATTAGAGTGCCATCTTATGACAAGCATTAGAGTGCCATCTTATGGCAAGCATTAGAGTGCCATCTTATGGCAAGCATTAGAGTGCCATCTTATGACAAGCATTAGAGTGCCGTCTTACGACAAGCATTAGAGTGCCATCTTATGACAAGCATTAGAGTGCCGTCTTATGGCAAGCATTAGAGTGCCGTCTTATGGCAAGCATTAGAGTGCCGTCTTACGACAAGCATTAGAGCCGCCTTCTTACGACAAGCATTAGAGTGCCGTCTTACGACAAGCATTAGAGTGCCATCTTATGGCAAGCATTAGAGTGCCGTCTTACGACAAGCAGTAGAGCGCCATCTTATGACAAGCATTAGAGCGCCGTCTTACGACAAGCATTAGAGTGCCATCTTATGACAAGCATTAGAGTGCCGTCTTACGACAAGCATTAGAGTGCCATCTTACGACAAGCATTAGAACGCCATCTTACGACAAGCAGTAGAGCGCCATCTTATGACAAGCAAAGCAACAGAACACTGGTAAGCATAATTTAGCATTGTTCCAATCAGGGTATACATAGTAATACACAATTACCTTTTTCCAATATCAACATTAATATTTGAAGCATAGGATTATGTCAGTTTGCACTAGCATATAGTAAAATATCACAAGCAATCACAACAAATTAACTGAGTAAGGATGTTGGGTTTTAAGTCGTCTTTAGCAATATTTCAGTCATATCACAGGAGACAGGAGAAAGGGGCTTCACACATTGTACCCATGTAGGACTTCGAACCCAGACCTTCAGTGCGACCAGCAAACACTTCAACCAAGAGGCTACCCTACTGCTGCTAAAACATATTAAGACCCCATCAGATAATATGTTGAGGTTCCTCCTAAATGTAGTTATAATGTGTGTATCATAATGTATGAGTCAAAAGTTTAACATTGTCAAAATGGTGCTCAACAAGCTTAATGCTTGGAAACATTTAACCCATTAAATATATGGTAAGAAAAGTGTTGCAGCTTAAACAAGATTATCATGCAATCCGATACAAAATAGAATTTTTTTAAATCACTTTCATTGTCGATTAAAAAGTGATAAAAAACCGAACTTCCACTTTCTTTGCATGCATTTTTCATACTAAAGATTCAGACAGCTGACCTACTTTTAAGATATGGAAGAGGGCACATTCGGATTTTATGTACATTAGCATGTCATTAACATTAGTCATTAGATTTTCATCCCCAACTGTCTATGGAAGAATATCATTACAAATACTTTCCAAAAAGACTGTCACTTTTTATCTCGAAAAATTACATTTAAAAATGTTTAAATTGCATTTGATTTTTCTGGAATTCATCAAACACCCATCAAGTATAGTCACATCATTCTGTAGCTCACCTACAGTTATTTCTGGCATATTTGCAGAAATGGGCAAAACATTTTCTAACCTGGTCACTAATGCATGCATTTTTAGAATTTGAAACAAAATAATATTAGCTTTATGGGCCCAGAAATTAAACAAAACATGTCCACAATTCAAAGAATCTAGATCAACATTAAATGAAGAAACAATAAAGGAAGATACAGATAAATTACTCCCATATAATTCTGTAAAATGCATACTAAATGCATATTGAATTTCATGATTATACTTGCAAACATTGCCAAGTAATTGCAAAATGATCATGTGTAATTATCACTGTTTTAAATTTTGGGTACAATGAATATCCATACAATATTTACCAATTAAATATCAACCCTCTCCCAGTATGCTATCCCTGCTGAAAATATTTTTGCAATGAAATACCATATTTATAGTATTAAGAACACTCTCCTCGCAAGCTAATCCTGTCCCCAAAAGTTCTAATTTGCAATACCGTATATACATCAATTAGCACCTCCTTCCAATAAGCAACCCCAGCCCAAAATATTACTGTTTTGCAATTCCATATTCTTAGCATTAATTACCCTCTTCAATTAAGCTTCTTCCTCCCAAAATATTGTTTTGCAATACCATATTCAAACCATTAAGCACCCTCTGCCAATAAGTCAGACATGGGTACATGATTTCGATGAAAACAGTTTAGATTCATCAAGGTTTGAACTATGTTTTATAACAACTTAAGCGTCACTGAAACAAATTTAAATCATTGTGTTTAGATTAATAAAGCACCCATATTTCTCAATTTTCTGACCACCTGAGGCACGTATTACAGAGTATATGGTACATAAAAAGATGTTAAGGCCAAAAATACACACTGGTGTCACAGGTTACAAAAGAGTGAGTGAGTGAGTGAATTAGTTTTAGGCCGCACTCAGCAATATTCCAGCTATATGGCGGCAGTCTGTAAATAATCGAGTCTGGACCAGACAATCTAGTGATCAACAGCATGAACATCGGTCTGTTGAATTGAGAACCGATGACATGTGTCAACCAAGTCAGCAAGCCTGACCACCCGATCCCGTAGGCTCCTCTTACGACAAGCATGGGTTACTGAAGATCAATTCTAACCGGGACCTTAGGTTACAAAGACCGAAGAGATATGGTTGGTAGGCAGAGTTTGTTTGTTTTTATACATAAATAGCTTGATGTTAAGTTAGCTACGATGTGCTTTTTGAATTTGTAGGTTTGCTTCTTTGTTTATTGTTTAACGCCACACTGAACGCAATTTTCCTCTTATATGAAGGCAGTTTGAAAATAATTGAGCCTGGATCAGACAATCCAGTGATTGATGTCATTTACACAATTGAGATGTGATGATGTGTGTCAACCAAGTCAGTGAGCCTGACCCCCCTGATCCCGTTAGTCACCAATTCTAATTCATGACCAATTCTAACCCAGATATTCACAGGTATGAATTTGTATGTAAAAGCTACAGCAATGCAGAAAATCTGAAGGAATTTTGAATTCAAATAATGGTTTTGTTGATAGCTGTTTACACCTGTGCCAAAATTAATTGGGCTGCACCTCCAAACAATGGGTCAGTCAGGTTACCTGAAACACGAGTACTTGTTGTTTTCCACAAAATTTGTTTTGATTATCATAATTATCATTTTTGATGGTTATTGAGTAAAAACCTGTTATGACCAAAGGATAAGGAAATAAAAAATAAATTAAGCAATCATAATCATTTCATTGTCAATATTATTCAGTGTCAAATCCTCAACTCTAACCAGAAATCCCTACTTAATGTGTGAGAAAGTGATTCAGACCATAACGTTGGAAGGGTAGCCTTGTGGTTAAAGCATTGAAATATGCCAAAACCGGGTTTGATTCCAAGGATGGGCAGTGTGTGTCAATCTGCAAGTAGGACACATATCTAACTCACATCAAACAGACGCTAAAACTCAGCTAATTCCCACCACTACCTTCGTTTCTTAATGGCAGTAAGCAATATATCGCTTTACTGAGGTAGATATGGTTTGGGTCAGGCAAGCAAGTGTTTGATAGCAAGAGCAATGCTTCACACTATTCTGGCAATGCCCACCATCAGCTGAACACACATTTTGTCCAACTAATCCACATTCTGTTAACTCTCCCGAATAGCGATGATGCTGGTGACCTATTCTCCCGAAGACACAAAGATTGCACACACCTGAATGTCGGATCCTCCCATCCCCCTTCTTCTTCATCATATCTTCCAGTTCTTCATCAGTAAAGAGGTTATCATCGAATTCCATGCTATCATCAGATGCCGTGTCTGCAGTTGTCTCCCCTGTCTCAGTCGTACTCTTCCCCCGGGGACGCTCCCGTTCGGGAAACGCCATCCCGCCCAACTGGTTCCCTCATCCGCTTGTTCTGCTAGTCTTGCTGTCACATCAACTGCATTCAACATCTGCTGATGCTGTTGTAGCAACATCGTCTGTTGTAGAAAGTGTAGATAGGGCTGTGGAATCACCAGTGGAGTACCTGGCACTATTTGCCCACTTCCGTTCTGCTGAATCATGGATGGCGATAATTCTTTGGATTTTTCTCCCTCCCCATCAGGTGATTTTAATTCTTTTGGCGATTCGACACGACTGCTGTTACCTAAATTATCAGGTGAAACTGTTCCAACGACGCCATCTTGGTTCACAATAGGCGCGCATTCCCCTCGTCATTGCTCTCTCCGTTCCCCTTTCCTGTGAGAGAGTTACCTCCCTTTTCATGACTCTCCTGTGTCTCAAGTTCCTGTTTAATCTGCATTGTTTGTGCTTCTGCCGGCATAGTCCATCACCATAGCATAGCTATATACGAGTTGCTACGTCACATTGTAAACTCTGCCCTCACAAACCATGCATTTTGTCGCTCACAGGGACGTGTAAAATGATGACATTTGATTGTGTTCCACGTCTGAAAAAAATAAAAGAAACATAATTTCAAAATTCAATGGGACACACAATATAAACTAAATCAGGGAATTATGTTCATGAATGTGAAAACTTGCAACTTGGATATATTCTCTCAATTAAACAGAAGAATAGACTTTCTCACGAAAATGACATGAAATAAATCTGTTGTGTCATTTTTCCTGCAATATAATAAGAAATGTAAATAAAAAACCACCACTATTCAATAATACTTTACCAATAACAATTCAAATTTTACAGTTTTCCAAAACAGGTTTACTTTACAAATGACATTCAGATAGTTACACTTCAAATAATTGTAGAATCAGGAGTCGCAGAATCCATTACAAAACACAAATAGATGTTGAGCAGTGGAAAATATCTCCTGTTTCTCACTTGTTCTTCTCATGAAGCAAGTCTCACACACGACTGACAACTGCTTATTCGTGAAACAATGAGTATTCACTCAAACATATGTGAAAATGACAATTTTCACAGAATCAGAAACAGTAAGAAAATCAATGCATGTGTATGTGTGGATGAACAATTGAAAGTGTCATGACGAAATTGGAACCGTCAATATCTCCAACAACATACCATAAAGGCTACCAGAATGTCAGTGAAAATCCATGAGCCAATAAATGATGCAGAACGCGGCCGAGCTACTTTTGTCAGTCGACGTGAGTAACGGCATCAACAGTGAATTCCATCATGTATGTCAAACAGAGTACGATTAACTCTCACATCGGAGTTCAACATAACATACTCAGTGAAAATTTACCACTTTGCCTTAAAACACCCAAACCGAAAGAATCGCAACAGGGGTGCTCTACTTCAAACCATGGCAAACACCCAGCTTGTCAAACACCCGATTTTAAAACCAAACCTTTTCTTTCCAGCCATCCAAGCTTGAAACAGAACAAAACCCATGCCAAGCTCATAATATCTGAGGCCATTTCATTGCAAACACTTGAGTCCTTCATGAAATGATTATTACTGAAAGACACGGTTCCGGCTTGGTACACTCAACATTATCAAAAGCCTACGCAACGTGCAGAAACTGAAAAGAAAGACGAGGACCGAAGCCATGCAGATGGGGTCTGTGCTCTCAAGGCGTAACATAACACCATACCCCTTCCTTCTCTTCGTCACGGTCACCAATCACCAATGCCTCCACTTCATAATGCGCTATTGAACAAGCTCGGTAAGCGCTTCACGGCTGTGCTCAATGAAACTGGATCAAAGGCGGCCATATTTATTTACCTGCACTGCTTGACAGTGTTCAGCACTAGTGCGTGGCCAGGCCATGGAAGCTGAATTCAATACAGGTCAATGTAAAACTGTATCTGGCGACAGCATTCCTCAACCTATAGACAAATAAACTACATTGGTGTCAACACTACTGCCCCACTGTGGCTTCCACAATGCCAGACTGTAATTAAAACCAAATACATCACCATACAATTGATGAACTCTGTATATATTTATCATCCAATTATTGTTAAACTGAAGGTGGTTCCCTTGTTCTAATTTTTCCAATTATTGTCTCAGCACCTTTTTTCGCTGCTTTTACCCGATTAACTAGACTTGTACAAGTCTCTAAGGTAATAATTAATAGTTTAAATGATAATTTCAAAAAAAATAATAATTGACTGGCTCTTGTCCCGTTATCTGGACTTGCCTCTTTAACGGATAGAATTACAATACATACATGGGCTTAGCACTCAGTACCGCCTTGGAGCAATGCTTCCGATTGACTTAAAAGACTTTTTAATGGCATGGAATGAATAAGTTACAATATTCCTTTACAACTATATATTGTCAGGAGGCTTGTAAATAGACATGGGAATGAACATAGATGAATCAAGCAAAAGGCCTAAAACCTCATCTTGTATCAGGTTGTATTGTGACATATAAGTAACATTAAACCTTATCATAAGCACAATATTTACATAAACGACATGTGGTCAAAACAATCTATTGTTTAATTAGAAACAGAAACCCAGCAATTATCAATCAAACAACTGGACCAAGACCCCAAATGACACTGATTATGAAGCAATAATTTCCTCAATAAACATGTTGTTGAAACCTAAGCTAAAACTTGTGATTCACATTTATTGAAAGTTAAAGACAATTGAGAGCTAACAGTCAAAGCACTTTCTTAATCTCATGGCTGTAACAATACCTGAGTGAGTGAGTGAGTGAGTGAGTGAGTGAGTGAGTGAGTGAGTGAGTGAGTGAGTGAGTGAGTGAGTGAGTGAGTGAGTGAGTGAGTGAGTGAGTGAGTGAGTGAGTGAGTGAGTGAGTGAGTGAGTGAGTGTGTGAGTGAGGTTTTATGCCGCTTTTAGCAATATTCCAGCAATATCACAGCGGGAGACACCAGAAATGGGCTTCACACATCGTACCCATGTGGGGTCTAACAATACATGACAGAGCCAGACAATTTTTATTTTTCATAGCAATGATCACACTTTTTAAAGCTAAAAGATCCAAGACAGCTGTCAAATGGATTAAAAAGGACATAGCAAATTTATTTCCCTGTCAGAAGGCTGCACCTGTAGATCTGAGAACACTATCACAACAATTAAGTCTAAACATATGTTTTATATTATTGATTAAGTTAAAGAAAATCATTTGACACATGAAGAATACCACATCACTGAAATATATTCAACAGCAGTTTTAACAATGGTTAGAAATTCCTGGCCTTTTCAAAGAAGATGATTGTTTAAGACCATTCAAAAGTCAGACAGACAATCAAGGCTTTTATGGTCTGCAAAACTTGGACATTAAAGTTTTTGGGCAAGCAGGAAGCGCCATTTTGATGCTATTTGTAATATGTCTGAACTTTGTAAAAAACATACCTCATTCTTAAGACAAGAATCCTTCATTGGTTTTATGATAAATGTGATTAACAGTGAAACATAGATGTTTTTTATAACCAACATCACTGTGTTTTATTCATACTTCAAACATTTATAATGTTATATGCACTGATATGTCAAACTTATGACAAGAAATAATTCATCAAGGATTTACTTCCCCTTGGATATCAATACTATGAAAATTCTAAAAAGTTCACATTTAAAAAAAATTCAAGGTGTTTAACAGTTCAGTTTAGTTTAGTCACTTCCTCTTTATTGACCTTGTTACCTGTGAAAGATAAGTTGTAACCATAGCAACATGAATTCAGAAATATTTAACTCCAATAGGGAATTTTGACCCATATTTGTTGCACAAACTTGGCCACATATCGACTTCGGAACAGGTTTTGATGAATGAGTGAGTGAGTTCAATTTTATGCTGCTTTTAGCAATATTCCAGCAATGGGGTGAGAAAACACCAGAAATGGCTTCACACACAGGTCTTGATGAATTCCTGCAATTCCACACAGAAAGGTCATTCTCAGTTATCAACTTTCCAACATTCAACCTTTCACAAAAATATTTCCATTCATCAAGTAGACCAGTTCTCAGTTATCAACTTTCAAACAAAAATACTTCATCAAGTAAATCGGTAAAAACTTATAGAGTCTCACTATCACAAGAAAGGTATGATACAATAAATGACATCTTCTTTAGCATATTATGACGCTCTTATCCATAAAGTATTATACCTTTGTTATCATTCATCAATTTGTAAAATGTCAATCAAACAGATTACGTCTCACCATCTTTGTCCAAAGAAAAGATATTTCTTAAACATTCTGATCAAGATGAGTGCTAATTGCACATTTGCAATGTACTCGTTTCAGCATCTATGACATCGTCAGGCAGCATCCTTTTCGCACAATCATAATTAATGGAGGTTAATGCTTTCTCTGCTTAATGATTTCCTCGACATTTTTACGCTTTTCAGCCACAGTGAATCTGCCTGGAGATTACTGAAGCAGGTAACGCTACCTACCTAATGACAAACTCTCCAACCAGTTTATTGATTTTGAGATGTCGCTGAATGTATGGCCAGAACACAAACTAGTACTACCTGTTCACGTATTATGCACAGAGGAATAAAGATGATGACATTTATAATGGTAAACGTCCAGACGTAAGCTGATAGCTTGAGAAATTAATGATCGTGCTTCAATACAGCAATACCGCCATATCGGAAAGGGAGACAACTGTTTCAAGAAATATCAACGCTAAAATTTATTTTCAGACAATTTACTGTCAGTGATTCAAATCTACCTGAACTGTGAAATTCACTTCCAATAATTTATATTCTGGTACATTCAGCTGTAAATTTGATGTATAAAATTGCCATGTACTTACAATCCAAATTATGATAAACTGTATGGTGACTCAGCTGAGATTAAACCACAGGTTGCAATCACTGTACGCCCATAGAACCATAAACCCATCCTAGATTCTACATACTTCCTTTGACAATGGCAGAAAATCGCACAATCGCTCAAGTGTGAATGGGCAAGGATGTGCGATTCCCTCATTTGTTTTGGCCCACTAGACAAACAAAGCTTTTTCTTGTTTCCACGTAAACGAAAATACACTGAGCGAGGCATCCTCTGTTGAACGACTGTGCAAACAGACTTGTTTTAACATAGACTGAGTTCGCAGTTTCACTTCGCTGACCCCGAAAAGACTCTGCTTCCTAACGGACGAAATAATTGATCTGCCCACTACAGAAATGCAATAATTGTCGCACCTGAACAATGCTCGCTATACTTTTTTGCAATCATCGGTACTGCATATTTTACAATTGTGTTTATCTACAGAACATCGAGATAGATTCTTGCTTTATGTCTCACTATTGATTTCCAACACCTTCGACAGTTGCTATTGTGTGACCACCAGGCACACACAGGATGACTCTGTCTTGCCATGACTCCTGTGTCATTTTTTAACTGATTCAGTTCTCCCTGTTTCAACACGGGCCACCGATAATGTTATAACATGAATCCTGGAGAGGTTCTTGAGCCTTCGTCTGGTCTTACAGCCAATTATGAAATGATTATCAAATATTAACGAGAAACAAATTCACATT